ACAAGCAAGGCTGCAGGCCCGTAGCGACGCTGGAGAGAGGTGGAGAGACACTCTCCAGGCCGTGCAGCCCAAGGGGCCGTACCGCCGGGATCCGCAATAGAATACACTATATAAAATCGGAGTTTCGAAGTTTTTTGTGGGGCATATTAGGCCGTACCACGGCTAAACTCTCCAGGCCGGGCGAAACGTCGCTACGGGCCTGGCAAGGCTTAATTGAGTCAGGTAGCCTTAAAACTGAAAACCCCTCAAGTATCTCTTTTTCGAGAAACTGAAAAGATTTGAGCCCTATGCAAAAGAAGGCCTTTTGTAAAACAAGATACTCCAACCTTCGCTCCAAGGCGAAAAACGAAGTTGGATTCGACCGTTAATGTCAAAAAATCAACATTTCTGAATTGGGTAGAAAACCGCAAATTTGAGTTTCGGTGCGGAAAGTCGGATTAAAGGGCGAAGAATGCAGAAAGATAAATCCTCCGCAGTAAAACCGGTTCGTATGGTTCCCACCTGCACTGCGCAAAAGGTCTTTTAAAAAACTTCGGAGCCGGTCGAATTCAACAGGTCGTGGATCACAGTCAACTTAAGAGTGGATGGGGTATATGTAAAATAAGGGCGTTTTTTTATAATAGAATCCAGCGTAAAATCATGATATTATTATAAAAATAACATTTCGCAACAGTTTCAGAAGATTTTCGCCGAAAATTTTCGGTTTCAACTTTAGATTTAAGTAACTTATGTATATTGTGAATTCTCGAAGTAAACGGGACAGATTTGATTTGAATTTCAGCCCGCCTCAAATGTTAATCAAGTGGGCACGTGATTTTGGCGCGTAGAAATTCTGTCATTCTGTCCCGTTTACTTTGATGCACCGCAATAGAATTTCGTTGCAATTTGACATTTGACATGTCGTGATTTTATTCCACTTATGGAACCTTATAAACTTTTGGAAAAATTCCGACCGATTTGTAGCACGTGTACATATGTATGTATGTACAAGTGTATCTTGGAGCAAGATTAGATTAGATTATACTATAAACTCACAGTTCAAAATTTATTTAATTGCAGTTGGGACCCTTCTAGAAATTCGGACCGGATCTTCCGTTAAAGATGTCATGCTGTGGGGCGTTAACGAAGAGTCCTCCTCCCTGGTTGGCGACTTTCTTCGCACCTTCGTCAACCTGGAATGCCTCTCCTCCTGGATGAAGGGTCCCCCAAAGCAAGGGAAGGGCAGACAACCCCCAACCAAGGAGATTTCGATGATCGATATCCACCGCGATTTAACCTCCGGTCGTAAACTGACCAAGGTTTCTGTCTGCTTGGCCGCCCTGGTCGTGCATCCAGATGACAATATTGCCGACATAGTCAAGCACAATATGACCGAGTTTCATACCATTTCTCTCCTGAAATCTATATCCATTTCCACGAAATATTTCCTCAATTGAGGAAAGTCTCGTTTGGATATAGTGGCCTCACGGTGGAAAAAACTTTCCTCCTTCGACAAGAAAATCTGAACGCGGTCAAGAGGAGGAGGGCTGCCCCCAAAAAGAAAACGGAGATACTGGTGTCTGCCCAGTCAGTCGAATTAGTAAATAATATCCTGAAGATTAAGGACATTGAAGAAATCAGAATTACGTTTTTGGATTGGGAGTTAGGCCCCGAAAATAAGCCTGCGAAGAAAAACGTGCTCAATTTCCTCAAGAGAGCAGGGCTGCCCACTAGGAAAGGTCTCCCGTCGGATTTTCTGGTAAAGAAGGATCCCACGACGGGTAACTGGGGGATGGATGACGATATAAATCCGGACGGGCGATTTGCGCGTGACGACAGTCCGGAGTATGAAATGTAAGTAGGAATTGAATTATTTAAGAATTTGTTATTCCTTTTTCGGGTTTTATGAATTGTTAATTGTCGAATTAATTGTTTTCTTGTTTTCACAGGTATTGGGAATATATGGACAAGCTGGAATTCCAATATTTTGGGCTGGACAGAATTTTTAAGGATTTGGACACATTCCAGAATTACAATGTGGATTATTAACGGAGCTTTATAATAAATATATTGGCCGAGTGACTTTCGAGACTGGTAGAATAGTAAATATGTAACTTTTTTTTTAGATAACAGCTTATCTTGTTAAATAAGTTAAATTATTTAGATCTGGATTTTTACATATCGTCTATATATGTATGAATATGCGTTTGGTCACCAATCCAATAGATGAATATTTCATTATTCTCCAGGACTTGTGAATTGCAAAAAAAACATCCAAACTATCTACATGTATTCATTTCCTTCGGAAACAAGTCGAAAAACAAAATTTTTAAAGCCTGCCAAAAACTGCAATAATTTCTAAATACTTGTTAATACTAATTTTAGAACGTAATAAACAAGCCCCCAAAAATGGAAATCTTAGTGAGGCTTGATGCAACTATCAATATTAAATAAATTTTCCAGAACAGAATTTACAACACCGCGCTCAATATTATTTTATAAAACTGAAGATAGTGTTGAGAGCGGGGATGCAAATGCTGTTCCGGAAAATTTATTTAATATTGATGGGTGCATCAAGCCTCACTAAGATTTCCATTTTTGGGGGCTTGTTTATTTAATACTTTTAATTGAGTTATCTTTAGATGTTGTTGCCAATGGCATTTAAGTTTTTACAACTGCATACTTTTTATCCATTTTTCAGTTTTCAAACTTGATTATCTATGTCATTTATTAATCGATTTTTATCATATTTATATCAAAATTTGCACAATAAGCAGCTCTAAAATGTTTGCAACTAATATCTGACATATTATGCTCCGGAAATTAACTAAAAATCAAAATGTGTTTCCAAGAGCACATTTTTGCTTATAACTCGCGTAAAAATCTAAAATTTGCTAAACCGGTTCGCAGGTCGTTTTTAAATACCGTAACAATGATCTGTGCAAAATTTCATCAAAATCGGTTGAGAAATGACTGAAATATCGATGGTCACTTTTTTGAGGTGGGGTAAATGCATACTTAGTAATTTTTTTCGTTGTTAGGTATTTGCCTCACTAAGAAAAATGAGGTATTTCAGTTTCTTGGACTTGTTTCCGAGTGCAATGAAAATGATTTTATATAAAATCATTTGTAATTTTAATTGTAATTTTAATTGCGTTCCATTCTGTTCAATAAATTGTTCACTTAACAATACACTTAACTGTTTTCCAAGTCCAAAATGGCAGTACTGACCTGGAATTATATCTCGTACTGGAATATTTCTGGGCGTTGAGATAAGAGTTCTCCCGTCTGCTGGAAGTACAGATTCGAAACAATTATGCTGCCTTAATATTTTTAAGAGTTCCGAAGTAGCGTTCCTTGTAATTCTATTTTTAATTACCCGCTTGGTCAGTTTTTCTTTCGTCTCACTACAGGAATCTAAATAACTTTCACAAAATTTGTCAACACTTGGATGAGGTAAAACTTCGTCTATATTTTCAACTGTCCGGCTGAAACTTGTCCGTCTCTTATTTGATGGTTCGGAGTCCAATAAATTTGTTTGAATTACTTGCGATGTAACTAATTCGCAAATCGAAGGTTTAATGACTGAAGAGTTTAGTAACACACGCGAATTTTCAAAATTTTTAGTTGCACGTCTAGCAATTTTTTTCGTCGAATTTCTGTACATGTTCTCTATTCGACCACTAGCTGCAGACTGGAAGTAAAACTGGACGAAAAAACATCCATGCTGCCAAATATTTAAATGTGGCGCACTAGTTTCATTGGTTGACTTCGTCCCTCGGCCGTCTTTAACTCGTCTAAATTCAAACATGAAAATAACTATACAACCCCATCTCGAGGTGGTATGTTTGTGACCACCTCCACACGTCCTAAGATCGAGCCCTTTGTACCGGGCGAAGCTCGTATCATTCGTACAAATTAAACACGTCTTTTACCGGTGCCCTTGGTCCTGGACGAATCCAGCACAAATGGGACCAGTTAAAAACGTTATGAGAACCAACTGGTCAATGGGGTAATGTCTTCCTTTCTGCAATGCACAGATTTTGTGGATAGGACTTCTGGAATTGCTCATCTACTGGATTTGTTAGCAAATGCATATTCAATGACTTGTCCATTTAGATTATTGCCATGAAAATCATGCTTCCTATGTAAATATGAACGAAATTACGCGAACAGACAAATAATTCATTTATGCAGCTTTATAAATCTACAAAGTGTTTTAGTAAGTAAAATTGTATGGTAAAATAAGTACAAATTTGCGCAGTTCAGACTATCTATGTATTTATGTATGTATATAACATGTGGATTTTAAAATGTTACACTATTTTTGTCATATTAATCTCCCTAAGAATAAAACCTATTACTATTTTTATCCCACCGTATGTAGGCTGTGCATTCAACAAGAAATACTAGAACTGAAAACATTTCTAACATTCCCGCAAGTACAAAAATTACTTCAGTATTATTCTTTAAACTAATCGGTTGTTCGATTTCCTTTACATGCTCCCTCCAATATAATATTTCAAGGTTTGATAATTCTCCTCGATTCTCATCCATTCGGCCGCAATTCCCGAATTAATCAGGGCTGAAATCCTCCCCAAAATGTAAGAATTTGCTCAAAGTAATACGTAAAATCCTTACATTCCTCTCAGCAGAATTTCCTTCCCGACAACAATGCACGATTCTGATTCTGCAATTTTCAAAATGTGAGAGCAAAGGTACATAAGTTTTTAGCAAACAACTGTTCGATTTTAATAGAATTCGGTCCCTTCAAAATGAACATATGCATCTACAACATTTTGTGGAAATAATGAGAATAATTGTTCATACTAAATTTGTATGAAATTAATGAAGGTTAGGTCAAGAAATACGTACGTACTTATATTACATAAATATGCAAATTTCTACCATTGGGACCAATCGATACATTGGTAAAAATGATTGATGCGCATTACCGATGAAAATATTTTCCTCTGATAAATAATAATGAATGAATAATTAGGCGGTTTGGAATTCGACGATAATTTGTTCGAGTCGTTTCCTTCAATATTTATTATGCATTGTTCTCTCACCCGCACTGTACATTGTACACATAAAATTAGTGAATAAAACACTGTCAAAAAATAGAAATGAAAAATTACAGATTTTTTATGAAACCATTTTTTTTATTTTCGCTTTGTTTATTCAGCTCTCTTCTTTCTTAGCTACATAATTCCCATCAATTTCCCCCGGTTCGATCACCAGGTTCCTATTTCTGTCCAAAGAGACAAATTCGTAGAATAAATAGACTGGATGGCTCCTTCCTGGAGGGACGCGGACCCCGTGAAATTCGTCCCTGTCAATGACTCCGTCGCCATTCTTGTCCAACGACGCCACAATTTTGTCCACCTTTTCGCTCACCATGCTTGACGTGTCTTCCGTATCGTGCACAACGGCGTCTCCGGGGGCCACGCGACACTCGCAGTTGCAGCCGAAGATGTTGCACGCGTCGTAGCCGCAAAAGGGCGTTCCGCGCGTGCAGTCGGCGCAAAGGACGAGCGCATTCCCGTCCGGACCGCGGGGACAGTGAAATTGATACCAGGTTCCGCAGCAGTCCGAGGTCACTTGGGTGACGAGAAGGAGAAGAAGAGGAAAAAGTGATGTCGTTTGGGCAAATTGCATTGTTGGAGGCTAAGAAAACAAACGGATTAGATATGTATAACAGTGTATAGGAGTGAATTTATTTTAGATTTGATTACGCACCTGTTCCGAAACTTATAGACCTGTGTACTGGAAAGGTTACGTTTTGAGAAGTTGTAAAACTTGCAAAGTTAAATTATTTAATGATTATTTGTGAGTGAATAAAACATATTTATAAATGCCATTGATTGTGTGGATGGATATGTGCAATTTTCATTGTTAATTGTTAAGCCGACCTTACAAGTTGGATGTATGTATTAAAATTATTAAATACCAATCAACAAAATATTTTGCATGAGAAACTCTACGCAATTGAGAATGAAGTACTGCTTAGAGAAACTAAAGATTTCTGAGTTTCCTAGTCTATCTATAGCAAGTATCGACATATAATTGAAATGCGTCAAAAAGTATATTTAAATTTTCCATGTCATGCTTAAATTAAAAAAATTCGAATCTGATATCCACATGCTACGATATTTAGACCGAAAGTGAAAGTTATTTAGATCGGGGCGTCATGATTCCAAGTGAACTTTGGTGGTGAAAAGCGAATCTTAATATTTTGTATTTACTAACATTCTTTCACATTGCACATTCTTTTGCAAAATAAGTCTAATTACAATTCAATTAACATTGCAATCAAATCAATTTATAGTTTGCCATTATCATACTTTACGTGATACATGCATTAAAACAAAACAAACCTCATACTTGCATGCAATGGCTTCTTCAAATTTAAATAAGTTTCTTTAAAATTTGTCAACACTTGAACTTCGCTAAATAATTAATTGTACGATGGAGGACAACAAAAGGACAATGTTGCTTGACCTCCCACCATGTCAGGAGACAGAGTGGAAATTATTAAACTATTTAACAACCTGTAAAAAGTGTTGGACTTGTTTGGGTGAAAATAATACAATAAATAATATAAATCTGACCGATGATAACCCCACCTCCACCCCGGATGATAAGGTGCACGCCAGAATGGAACGCTTGTTACGGAGGGAACCCTCTTTTCGACATATTCTCCTCCTCCTTACGACAAGAAAAAGGAACAAATTTCATCTCGGGGTGGACAACTTTTACAAAAATTGCTGCGCCTCGTGTACAGAAATATTTCAGAATTTGGCCGTCCTCGAGGAACAAGTGGAACAGGTGGAGGCCAAGATTTGTACAAATTTCGCCCTGGTATTGGACAGAAGAAAGTCGTCACCGTTGCAAAAAGAAGTCAAAGTGGAGGAGGAAAGAATTGATGAGAAAGTCACCAAAGTGAACATTCATATTAATTTGTAACATTTAAAGTTATTAATTAATTACAGTAATAATTAAATTGGTGACTATTTCAGACGGAGGACGTAAAGTGGATGAGTGGACAGGGAGAAAATGTGGACAACGATAAGCTTCTAGGCGATGAGCAGAATATTTTGATGGACGGAATTGTGGAAACTAATAATGCAAAGGTATGCAATTTTTAGAAGGATTTTATTAAACTAATTATGCTAATTAATTAGTACGCTAATTTATTGTCGTCTTTGTCCATCAGGTGGATGAACAGGTCATCATTAAAGACGAGCCAATGTCCGACTTGGAAGAATTTGTGCTGGGTCTTGGCCTTGGAGATGACGACGAGATGGAGTCGGGCGACGAATCAGGACCGGAAATCGAACCAGATCCCGACTCTGATTTTAATCTGTTAGTTGTATTTAAAATAATAAATTTTAGAACTAATTTATGGCTATCCTTGAAATAAATTTAATCCTCTATTTGAATTTTCTAGTGAAAATAATGACGATGGTGATAATAATTCCTCATCGGACGATAATATTGACGGCAACGACCCAGATTTTTCCTCCAAACCGCCAAGAAAACCTCGTCGTCGCGCAACCTCCTCCACACGAAAACGTCGCCAAAACCGCCCCTACCCTACCATTCAAGACCCGGGCAACATTATCTGTCCAGATTGTCCCCTTCCCACCGACGAAGCCACCCCACCTCGCCGATTCGAGACAATGCGACGGTGGAAATACCACTACGATTTCCACCACCTCGGTATCCCCACGCCAAAACCGCACTCCTGCCCCCACTGCGATCAAACCTTCCAACGGAAATATCAACTCCTTCGTCACATCTTTAAACTCCATCCGGGTCAATTACCCCCCGACCAGGATCCCGCTGTTTTTCTCCCCCGCAGAAAAGAATTCCCCTGCTCAGCCTGCGGGAAGGTGCTCTCCTCCAAACTCGCCCTTACTGGTCATGAACTTCTCGTCTGTCACGTCCCCCTCGATAAGTCCTCCCTTCCCTGCAAGATTAACATCTACGCGTGCGAAGTGGAGGGATGCAACGCCCAATTTTATACCAAGAAAGGTCTCGGTCGCCACATTGTGACACACACGGGTGCCCAATCCTACTCGTGCGAGAGGTGCGGAGCTACCTTCACGCGTCCCGACTCCTTAAAAGGACATGTCAACTATGCATGCAAATTTGGAGCGAAAATGGCTCGAAAATCTCGCAAGAGGAAAAAGACCACCAGCACCATGACGTCACCGCCACCTCCCCCGCCGCCGTCCGTCTCGTTTCCATGTCCACATTGCCACCGCGTCTTCAAAGTTCGATCTGCCCACGAGAAACATATGCAGACTTGCTTAACTCCAAAACCTGCCGGTGTCCCGGCCGAGAAACCGAGAGGAATTTGTGACATTTGCGGAAAGTCGATGCTCCTCGTAGAGGTCCCGATTCACAAGAGAAGAGTGCACGAAGGAGAGAAGCCGCATGTTTGCAAATACTGCGGAAAACGCTTCTTCCACCCGAATAATTTAAAATCGCATGCAAAACATGTCCATGAAGAGAAGGGGCAGCCGAGAGAGAGGAAATTTGTATGTGAATATTGCGGAAAGGCGTTTTCTGGATCGGGGAATTTGTACGATCATAAGAATCGCGTACATTTTAGGATGCATCGATTCGCGTGTAATTTCTGTGGGATGAAATTTTGTCACAAGAACGATATCAGGAAACATTTCAAAGGGCATGAGAACAAGGGCGAGGCGAGGATGGAGTTTGACCAGTATTTAGCACTTTCCACCCTTCCGGAGAAAACGAGAGGGTTTACTCAAGATGCTGTAGCCATTTTACCAAAATAATTGTGTATTTTATTAAGACAATAGCCAATTTATGTACTTATACATAAATTGTGAAATAAAGTTTCATGAAAAAAGTTATCGTGTATCACTTTGCATTAGACATGCACCGAGTACCGAAAAAGTCGACTCGGCCGAGCACCGAGTACTCGGCTATATTTTTGCCGAGTACTCGTTTCTGCTCGTTTGCCGAGCACCGAGCTAAGCTCGGCAATCGAGTACCGAGCAAAGCTCGGCCACCGAGTAAATTGTCAAAAAGATCATCAAAAAAATCATTGTTTACATAATATTTAATTACCAGTACCTCTATTTTGAGAACTGATGGACGGAATCACGTGAAGCTACTGATTATTCTTCCTGTTCCAACATTTCGATTAAAGTTGACTACCGGATAGAATTAACAAATTTCACGGGTTTATTTTTGAAGTAAGTTTGACTTTGATTGCAAAAATCACATGATGGATAATTTGAACTGCGCGCTGTAACTACCGGATAAAGTGACACTGGATGCATATAAAAATTTAAGAAATACTCGGCCGAGCACGCAAAAAAACTCGGCCGAGTCCGTGTAGTGAGAACACGGCCAAAACCTGCCGAGTACTCGGTGCATGTCTACTTTGCATACGCTTTGAAAAAATGTATAAATCGGCAGTATTTTTATTAACCAAACACAAATTATAATTCGCATGTAAACTGCAAATTACTTATCACCATTCTCCAAAATTTTCATCCTTATCGTGCTAATTTCGCCTTATCAAGATCATTTTTTTGAAACAGTTTTATGAGCATGAAGAATTTCTCCCTCTGTACGTGTCATGTGACATATGAAAAACCGAACATATATTCACATTCTACGTCACCACTATCCCACACCTTGTATTATTTATCGTAATTAGTCACATTTTTTCGCCACGTGCTACATGCCCGTTCCCACGTGCGAGGGGAACTAGCCAACATCAAAACCTGTACCCAAAAAAATTCGCCCACTGCTGCCCAAAACCCTCAACTCGTCTAACCTACAAATACATTGGACATGTTTTGGACACCGTGATTACTCATGTATAACATCTCGTTACTAATTTATAAGCTTACCTTAACAATTTTTGATACTTTTAATGCATCATTAGTCTCATAATGACTTGTCTTGTGTAACTATGGGAAGTAGAATATGCTAATGTATAGGACAATGGTGATAACAGTGTGTAAACTAAAATAAGGTTTGGAGAACTGAAAGGATGAAAGAGTGTATTATAAATATGAAGAGCCCTCCAAGTAACTATGTCCTCCTTCGGGAGGACATATACTAAAATTGGAACGATACAGAGAAGATTAGCATGGCCCCTGCGCAAGGATGACACGCAAAATCGTGAAGCGTTCCACATTTTTTTGACGATTTTTTATTTGACAAAATTTGCACAGAAAATGCAAACATTTTTGAAGGGGCACTTATTTTATTTTGATAACATGATGTTAATTTAAGGACGACTAGGAAAGTCTTGAAGCATTCTACATTTTTTGCAAACTTTTTTTTTGCAAAATGCGCCATAAAAACTAAACTATTTGCCATTTCTTTAGTTCTAAGGTTTTATGAATTTGAGGTGATAGTACATACACGAAGACCATAAATTAAGTATTATCCAAACATGCATGCATGCAAACAGAGATAAAAGTGCAAATATTTGAAATGTGTATGACAAAATTAACAAAACCATTTAATCCATGAATATATGTAGAATGCATTTACAAATCAATTAAATATGAATATATGTATTAAATTCGTTATGTATTCAGCACAAAACATTCCTCATTCATTTCCACCCTCTCCCGCTGGCGTCTTCTTCTCCACCGGCGGCCGGCCAATTTTCGCGCCGGCAACCCCCCTCCTCGTCGGGTCGCCTTTCCCCTTCCCCTTATACCGCCCCCTCTTCTCGGGATCATGCGACCACATATGAATCCTTAAATACTCTCTGAGCCGAAACCTCTTGCCGCACACGGGACACAAATGAGGAGCGTCCTCCTGCCTAATATGAATTTCTTTATGGCGACTCAACTTAAATTTCGAAATCAACCCCCTCCCACACACGTCACAAATGTATCTCTTCGCTCCAGGCTCCCTGCTCTCGCACACGAGGATGCTGTCCGGCTCGTGACGCAGGGCCACGTGGTCATCCTTAGCAGCCTCGGTGGGGAATGTATGCCGACATTCTGCACAGGCGAAGGTGTTGGAACTGTGCGTCGTAGTCTGATGGAGTTCAAAAGCCTCTTTCGTCTGGAAATACTTGCCTTTGCACTGACCACACCGGATGGCTTTTTGCCGACAGGTCTTCTCCTTTGCCACGTGGTTATTAAAAGACTTCAACTCATCAAAAACCACATTACATCCGGGACAAGTTAAGAACTCGATGGCCATGTGGGATCGTCGTATGTGCCCTTCCAGGAATTTGCCGTTCTGGTATGTGAGGCTGCAGTGGGGGCATTTGTTGTGTCGGCGTTTTAAGCAGGCTGAGTCGTGGCGCAACCAGTGTTGGAATTCGTGGAAGAATCTGGAACAGCGGGGGCAAGGGAAGGCAGAAATTTTGTACTTTTTGGCCAGCCAAGCCAGCGGGGGGATTTGTAGGGGGGATGTGTTTATCTCGTCGTCGAGAAGAGAGGTTCGCCAGGTGAGCAAGTCTTCCCAGGTCCAGGATGGAGTGTACAGTTGTGGGGTGAAGTAGGATGGCTCACTTTCTTCAGGTGGGGGTGGTTCAGGTGGAGACTTTACTTGGGGGGATGAAACCTGTAATTGAAGTATTCAAGATATTACTTTAGTCGATTTATAGTATTAATGCGTTTTCAATTTGGATTTCATTTTGCTATTGTTGAGGTGTTTTTCCTTCAAAATTTCCAGCTATACAAAATTTTCCAGTGAAATTTTGGAGCAAATTCCTATCTTTACCTCACTCGCTGGGTCCGTAGAAGGCACAGATTTTACGCGTTGATACGTTTTGAGTGTACGATTCCCAACAACAACTTTGACAAACTTCTTTGTCTCTTGTACTGCTTTGCTGCGATCTGGTTCTTTTTCTGAGCTATTTTCATCCGAAGCAGAAGAAGAATGATCGCATTCCATTGCAAGGGGATCGTCCCCCTCAAGTTGAGATTCCTCCACATCATCCGGACAAATTTCCTCCCCAAGAACTTCGTTTTCTTCAAACTGGAGAACGGGATAGGTGACATTTTCATTCTCTTGATCTTGATCCAGGTCAACTTCTTCAATTTTGATACATTCGCAATCAACTTCCTCGTCCTTTTCTTCCTCAGCTATTTCCTCATCCTTTTCCTAACGACAAATATAATCATTGTTTCGGAAATAATTGCTATTTAATTAAAATACTTAATCAATTATATTAAATCCGACTTGTTCTTACTTTTCTTGCTCTCGCTGCATCAAAATCAATCCAATCCTTGCCTAAAGAAATAAAGGACACAGTTTAATAGCCCACTCAGAAATTAATGGTTTCTTAATCTTCTAAAAATCTAATCTACCTTCAACTTTCAAATAATCCCAAACTTCTTTAGCAACATCGCGAATAATCCCCCTACCGATTTCACCCATTTCGACATCCGCCTGGTCATCGTCCTCAACTACGATCCGACTTCTCAACTCGTCCTTGTAATTGTCTCGATCTCTCCTCATTCGGTTCAAACTCGCCTCAAATTGTTGTCGAAGTTTCTCTATTTCTTTCCCCAATTGGATCTCCTTTCCGACCAGGGCGTTACAAGTTTGGCACAACATGACCCATCCGGCCGGCTGACCGTGTCGCGATACCAAATCGGCACAGCGCTCATCCGGAAACTCGAGTAGTTTGTGTAACAAGAAGATAACCCGTTCGCTCTGGTCGATCAGCTGCTGCTTCGTCCCCCAGGGGACCTTGTCCACACGGTGGAAACCTTTTCGAGCCGGGGTGGCGCATACCAAGCAGGGGGCTGAAATATGTTTTAAAATGTAGTAAATATTTAGGGAAAAATTGCCAAAATTGTGTACCTATGATGGTCTGACATAGTGTCTTTTTGTTCTGATTAAGCCTGGAGGCGAGGGCCCGCTTGCTAGCCCTGCCCATATTCCTCCACCCCCAAGTGGACACTTACGGGATGATAAGACAGGAATAAATTATTGTGCTGGAGATGGTTGCTTAATATCTGACGATGATAAGGATGGACAAAATAGATGTATAAGAACAGCAAATGTAAACAAAGTTAATTCAGTGAATATTTAATTGTTTAAAAGTGTGCAGTAGAAATGCGGATTTGGATTTGCAATATGTACAAATTTTGCATTCTTCAATATTTTGGTTTGTGTTTGTGTGCAACTGATTCCCGGCAGAAAACTGGGCGTGGGGCCGTGCAGAAAGGATTGCGTATTACACTAAATAATAACAAGAAGGTCACGTAACCTTGAGTTGTTATCGGTCTCGTCCTCTCATATGGGGGGATGACTTATCTAATTGGTACCAAGTATGTGACATCCTGTGTTCGAGGCCACATTAACCGAAATAATCACTTTGTCCATTGAGGATGAGCTGCATGAAAGCTCGGTTAAGCGTCTCAAATGGCAAAATGGGTGAATGGAATTGGTAATTTTCTTAATTTAGATTTCTAGGTCAGAATACTACAATATTACCGAAATCTGCAAATTTATAAATTTCACAAGTTACTGATATATTGATATTTTAAATAAGTTGCGTCGTTTTTCTTTTTGCGTTTAATTGAATCCATACTTACATACATGCATACACATTTATTTATTGTCCATAAATTTTCTTCCTCCTCAAATTAACATAAGACTAGCCATAAAACTTTCTATTAGACATAGTAATAAAAACTGAGGTACATTCCTGGCTCTTTGTACGCCTTGAGTTTGGCATCTTTCACGCCCCCGTTGAAATCCACGTAGGCGGTCAGGGTCACGTTGACCTTTCCATTGGTGAGGAACTTTTTCTCATCAATCGCACCTTTTGAGTCCAGCAGATGAATCGGAACCGTCACGTGGTCATTTCTCGCCAGTTGTTCCGTATCGATCGTCACACCACCCAATTTCTATGGTACACAAGCACAAGAAATTATAGAAATTTGCCCCTCATGGAGTTGGATTTCGGTTTTGCAGCGATATATTTATGCACAATTCAAGAGACAAAATTCTGCCACGTATCGAAATGGCGACGAAATTTCGTTACGTTATCCATCACAATAAACCTGTGGGATTTTTGGCTCTTGAAATTTTGCCGTCGTTTTGTCGTCAGTTAATCGCCAGGCTTATCAGTGACCCCGGAAGCTGTTGGACATTAAAATTGTATGGACTAGGGAGGGGTTTACATAGCATGATTGGGACTTCGAATAACCGTGGGGACGTTGTGTCGACACTTCCGCGGCCACTGCATTTTGATTTCAAGACCCTGCCGCATATCTGTACATATCTAACTGATGTCTCCATTGTTCTAATGGAGACATTGCCCGGCATTGAATTAACCAAAAATCAGTCAACCCTTCCTTTTTGGCTGTTAAAATTATACAAATCTCTCTCTCTACCTTATCGGACGACCAGACTGGTTCCTTTTCAAACACCATAAACTCGATGCGCTAAAATAAAAATACAATACAAATTTAAACATATGTGACGTTTAGCGCCATGAGGCCACGAAGAGTTTTAATGCCCGCGCTTTCAGTTTAACGTCAAGCATGGATAGATGTTGACAGATGTTGAGGACCGTATCCATTAATTATGTCACGGCTTGTGCGGGGGGGGAGGGTAAAAGTGTTGCGCGATTTGTGCCATGTGTTAAACACGTGCCACGTAACAAGTGGGAAGTGAAATAGGAATGTTTGCGCGACATAAGGGGGGTCCTCAGACACACGAAGAAATCGTCGCTTCGAATTTCTCTTTTCCTGATAAGCGAGCTCTTGGGTAAGCGAACAGAAACTCAACTCAGAAGTGGGGTCAAGGTCGGTTAGCTGAAGTCGGAACAAAATTTTGCAATTTTCATAATTTTTGCGTGCTATCGATAAGCGAAAAACTAAGCGAAATTCAAAGCGACGATTTTTTCGTATGTCTGAGTGAGGACCCCCAATGTATGAACCTTCTCTGCTATTGTTGATCAAGTTTCCAGCCATATCGACTCCTATCAATCACGTGGTCTAATGTGCACGGCCCTTAACTTCACATTTTGTCGCCAACCTACCTCCGGAGTGTCGTCGAAAAACTCGTAATTAATGATTTCCTTAAACTCTGGATCCCACGAGTCGGAGACGTAGTCCGTGCGCAGGCCAGTCCCGCGCATCCATCCTTTACTCCCCTTCTTCAGAATGCGAATCTCAAGGAACAAATCTGACCAAATTCAGGAAATATTAAGTAATTTCTAATCAAAATTCAAGAAATTGTTCCAAGCTTAAAACATTTCCTGACCTGGCCTGCTCATCACGTCTGTGTCTGGGGCGTGACTAAAATTTTGCGAAACAAGGTTTTAAATTTTTACATACATACATACGCGAATATTTTACATTACCCTTTCCAACTTTTTACATGAAACCATAATTTTGTAAAAAGCTGATTCGGTCGGAAACAAATACGAGTAGCGAAGCATTTATTAAATTAAGGGCAATTGTTGAGAGTAATTATGCAAAAAGAGTTGCAAAAAGTTGAGTCTCAGAATTACGAATATTCAGGGTAATTTTGAGTAAAAATTTTTGACCCATCCATTTGCCACGCTACAAATCAAGCCTACAAATTTACACCTATCGTAAATCCTTACTTAATTAGGAATCGTAACTTCATCTTGCCCCTAGTACCGGTGCACCCGTCCAAAAACAACGCCACGATGGAGAGAAAGGTCAAAAACAACGCCCATTTTCTCATGCTGAAATTTCGATTTTTTCTTCAAAGTTCAAAATCGGTCTCAAAAATAGCAAAGGAATGGAAAGGAACAATGGTTCACAAAACTAATTCTCAAGAATTTCGATCCGTCAAATGTGACAATGGTTCCATTAAAATTTAATCGTTCAACATGTAATAACGGACATCCTGTCATTGTATGCAAGCGAAATTATTAGGGTAAAATAAATGTTACACATGTACGTCATGGGGCAATAAGTTACTAAATTTTAGTTATTACTAAATATACGCAAATATGTATAGCCAGAACGTCGTACATAAATATGTAAACACTTTTTACCCTAAATTATTTGCATATTTATTCAGTGCAAATTTATCATTCTTCAATGATCATTTAATTTTTATTCAATTTTTCTGTATAGCTGTTCATTTAATCACATTAACAATCCACTACAAAACTACATACAATCCGTAATACCCATATCGTCCAACGTCATACATATTAATTAAAGTTGCAGTCCGAAATTTATAGATGAAAATATGAAAGATAAATCGTACACAGTTTTGTGTCAGCCTCATTTTGTCTCACTCAACCTTGGATACATTTTAGTTATTTTATGTAACACAATTTGGATTTGTTCCTGTTTCCATTTACAATGCACAGGTTTTGGAGATAGGAGGACTTAATGCAATACTCAATTTTTGGATTTGTTTCTAAATGCATATTCATGGATGATATGTATGTATACTGTCCGCGTACTCGGCTCTGTCACCTCATTTGCATATTTTAACGCATTCGTGAGAGTCATAGAGTTTACTCAACATGGAAAACCCGTATCGCCGAAAATGGGCTATTGAGATTTATGCAAATGAGGTGACACGCCTAAATGCGAGGATAGTATGTACTAGTCTCTTAAGCCCGCAAAGCGGGCTCTAAGCAAAACGATTTTATTTAGTTCATGGATACAAATGTCCGCTGAATAATTGTTACACATTTACATTCACACAGAGAAAATCAGCGTGGACTTGATTGTCACGTTGTATGGCACGATGTTTAATAATAGAGTTCGTCAAGTCATGATTCTAATTTGTGTAACCACGAAAAACTTTCAGTCACGACTCTAAAGGGTGTGAGCACGAAAAACGATCAGTCACGACTCTAAAGGGTGTGAGCACGAAAAACGTTCTGTCGCGACTCTAAAGGGTATGACCACCAAAAACGTTCAGTCACGACTCTAAAGGGTGTGACCACGAAAAACGTTCAGTCACGACTCTAAAGGGTATGACCACGAAAAACGTTCAGTCAACGTTCAGTTACGACTCTAAAGGGTGTGACCACGAAAAACGTTCAGTCAACGTTCAGTTACGACTCTAAAGGGTGTAACCACGAAAAACGTTCAGTCACGACTCTGTGGGTGTGACCACGAAATTCGTTTAGTTACGACTCTTAAGAGGGTGACCACGAAAAACATTAGGTCAGGACTCTAGACGGGGTGACCACGAAAAACATTAGGTCACGACTCTAAAGGGGGTGACTTCGAAAAACGTTCAGTTACGATTTTAAAGGGGGTGGCCACGAAAAACGTTCAGTCACGACTCTAAAGGGGGTGGCCACGGAAAACGTTAGGTCACGACTCTAAAGCGGATGGCCACGAAAAAACGTTAGGTCACGACTCTAAAGCGGGTAACCACGAAAAACGTTCAGTTACGACTCTAAGGGGGGTGGCCACGAAAAACGTTAGGTCACGACTCTAAAGGGGGTGGCCACGAAAAACGTTAGGTCACGACTCTAAAGCGGGTAACCACGAAAAACGTTCAGTTACGACTCTAAAGGGGTTGACCACGAAAAACATTAGGTCACGACTCTAAAGGGGGTGACCTCGAAAAACGTTAGGTCACGACTCTAAAGGTTGTGACCACGAAAAACGTTCAGTCACGACTTTAAAAGTTGTGACCACGAAAAACGTTAGGTTACGACTATAACGGTTGTGACCACGAAAAACGTTTGGTCACAACTCTAAAGAATGCCATTGTTCTAACGTTTTAAGAACGTTTAGGCACTTAAAGCAAAAGCCCGCCTTCTAGCGCTGAAAAACAGCCAACATCCGATAGGTGGCGCTGGTAGGTAATTAAAATTAGTAAGGCACAGGTCAAGTGTCCATTATACAGTGGGGCACAGAGGTCACAGGTCAAGTATAGCGAGCGTCCATAAATCACGTGATCGATTTTTGGACAATTTTGACCCCCTCTCCCTCCCTTGGTGACCGGTGGTGATAATTTCGCTACCCCCCCCCCCCACCGGTCACGTGACAGAATATGATGCTCAAATTAAATCATGTTGTCCGGCATAACAATATTTTTTAACTCATTAATCAAATTAGAGCTACACTACACACATGTGTAAATAACCATTTAATACGCCTGTCGGACATAAGAATTTAAGTCGAAGCAAGTTTCCAAATATCCAAAATGAAAATCAAATTCATATAACGTGCGCGTGGTATGCCAAGAGAGTTTATGTATAACTCTCATGACATTTATTGGCATATACAAAAGTTAAAAAAACTTTACTCATGTCACGTGACATCTGACCATCTACCCCGCCCCCCCCCCGTGATATTTGGTGACAAATTTCAGACCCCCTCCCCCCCTCTAATCGATCACGTGATTTATGGACGCTCCCATAGTGGATGTGCCCAGGTCACAGGTCAAGTGTCAACTACGTTTAGTGCCAAGTTTAGGGATTGTACGCAGGTCAAATGTCAAGTCCAGGGGGTGTGCCCAGGTCACAGGTCAAATGTCAAATCTAGTGGGTGCGCCAAGGTCACAGGTAAAGTGTAGTGGGTGTGCCCAGGTCACAGGTCAAGTGTAGTGGGTGTTCCCAGGTCACAGGACAAATGTCAAATCTAGTGGGTGTGCCTAGGTCACAGGTCAAATGTCAAGTCTAGTGGGTGTGCCCAGGTCACAGGTAAAGTGTCAAGTTTAGGGGGTGTGCCCAGGTCGCAGATAAAGTGTAGCGGGTGTGCCCAGGTCACAGGTCAAGTGTAGTGGGTGTTCCCAGGTCACAGGTCAAATGTCAAATCTAGTGGGTGTGCCCAGGTCACAGGTAAAGTGTCAAATCTAGTGGGTGTGCCCAGGTCACAGGTAAAGTGTCAAGTTTAGGGGATGTGCCCGTTCATTTGATCAAGTCTCGGCAGATCCAAAGGGTGCGTTTCGTTGTTCTCGTGTTCGTCAACGTTTTGACACTTTAGGGAAAAACGCCCTCTAGAAACGAAAAATACAACATAGTGCCCAAACTGCCGCTAGGTGACATTAGCTTGGACAATGTGAGACACGTGTGTAATCAAGCGCCAAGTTCAACTGGTAACACACACACACACACACACCACTGCACAATTCTTGGGTCTGATGGCATTGTTCTAACGTTTTAAGAACGTTTAGGCACTTAAAGCAAAAGCCCGCCCTCTAGCGCTGAAAAACAGCCAACGTCCGATAGGTGGCGCTGGTAGGTAATTAAAATTAGTAAGGCGCAGGTCAAGTGTCAAGTATAGTGGATGTGCCCAGGTCAGAGGTCAAGTGTCAAGTATAGTAGGTGTGCCCAGGTCACAGGTCTAATGTCAAGTATAGTGGGTGTGCCCAGGTCAAGTCTAGTGGGTGTGCCAAGGTCAGAGGTCCAATGTCAACTCTAGTGGGTGTGCCCAGATCACAGGTCAAGTCTAGTGGGTGTGCCCAGGTCACAGGTCAAATATCAAGTCGAGTGGGTGTGCCCAGGTCAAATGTCAAGTCTAGTGGGTGTGCCCAGGTCACAGGTCAAATGTCAAGTCTAGTGGGTTTGCCCAGGTCAAATGTCAAGTCTAGTGGGTGTGCCCAGGTCACAGGTCAAATATCAAGTCGAGTGGGTGTGCCCAGGTCAAATGTCAAGTCTAGTGGGTGTGCCCAGGTCACAGGTCAAATGTCAAGTCTAGTGGGTGTGCCCAGGTCAAATGTCAAGTCTAGTGGGTGTGCCCAGGTCAAATGTCAAGTCTAGTGGGTGTGCCCAGGTCACAGGTCAAATATCAAGTCGAGTGGGTGTGCCCAGGTCAAATGTCAAGTCTAGTGGGTGTGCCCAGGTGACAGGTCAAGTATTAAGTCTAGTGGGTGTGCCAAGATCAAATGTCAAATCTAGTGGGTGTGCCCAGGTCAAATATTAAGTCTAGTGGGTGTGCACAGGTTAAATGTCAACTCCAGGGGGTGAGCCCGTTCATTTGATCAAGTCTCGGCAGATCCATTTCGTTGTTATCGTGTTCGTCAACGTCTCAACGTTTTAACACTGGCGAAAAACGCCCTCTAGAAACTAAAAATGCAACATAGTGCTCGAACTGCCGCTAGGTGACATTAGCTTGGACAATGTGAGACACGTGTGTAATCAAGCGCCAAGTTCAACTGGTAACACACACACACACACACACACACACACACACCACTGCAGCACTGCACAATTCTTGGTTCTGATGTGCTTCCCGTGCATACTGTGGGCAACCAAACCCTCCGTCTGGACATTGAACAATTGAGCATTCCCATGCATGAATCTATATTTATAAAAAGGTCGAGTTTTTCCAGGTAATCTATTTTTACCGTGCACCATATTTACATACCTACATAAACACTTACATACGTGAAGTGTAATTTAATAGCGTTTCCTCACCTGGACTGAAATCATCTGGTTTTTTCATACGTAGTACTTTTCACATTCATATAGTGCTCTTCTCTTCTTCTTAATTATTACGTAGATCGGTAAATAACTTGCAAGTTAAATAGAGCTGGACAAATTCTTGATTGTATTTAAATAAGGGTATATTTTTCAGGAATTCTCTTTTCCCAGTGGACAAGAAACCTGAAAAGAAATTATTGCAAAAATGGATTTGGACAGCAGTCATCCAAACAAAGAGAATCCTCATCAAGCCGTTATACTTCCTCAGGTATGTATGTACATAAATATGTATGCAGATAAATAAATATGCATATTTTCGTGTTTCTAACCATGTTCCTGTAATACATATTTCACGCATGTACATATTTCCGGTTTCTAGATTGTGGCGAACATTGTCACCTTCCTTCCAAAATCCGACCTCATCTCGTGCACATTGATCAACTCCACGTGGGAAGACGAAGCCAGACTACCTCTCCTCTTCCTATCCCAGTTTATCCTCGACGCACAGAATATCGCCCACCACGAGGAAATTTCTACCGTTCGGGGAAACTCTGCCAGAAACATTGTGGTCTCCGAATTCCCCAATTTATCTCGGGAAGGCCCCTGTGGAAATTTTTTTTCTACCCATGGCCACAAAGTGAAACGATTGGAGACTCGATTACTCCAACCAGATGTCAAATGGTCCCAATTTTTTGAAATCTTGTCAAACACATTCCCCAATCTGACCGCGGTCACGTTATTTATCGACCATACCACACCGAACTATACCGAATTCCCCCCAAAAATAGCGGTCTTCTCGAAGGTTAAACAACTAGCAATCTACATGCCCTCAAACTTCATGGACGAGGATAGAATTCGTCAATCCGTGGTGGAATCCTTTCTCAATTTCGCCCCCACGCTGACCTCCTTGACCTTGATCAACATCCCGTTAGTTGGCCCAATCCGAGAAAACACTGTAAAGCTGACCCGGCTAGAAATCGGGCATGACTTCATCTACAACCTTTTGCCACCAAGTATAACCGCCATGCTGAAAATGTCATCTGCAACGCTGGTAAATCTGAGATTCAGCCGGGTATCAAATATTGAGCCTTCCGTGGTACGAAATTACGAACAATTACTCATATTGTTCCCAATCTTGCCGAAATTGCGGGTTTTTGAACTTGTGCACAATGATTTCTCGACCCGGCTTGGCGGGACAATGGTCACACGTGCCATAAATCTAACATTTGAAAATGGTAGTGCAGTAACGAAGTTACCTTATGCCGAGCAGTTCCCTGTTCTGGAAACCTTACGGGTTTTGAAGGGGGTCTCTTCTCAAAATGACAAATTGACGGAGCAACAATTTTTTGAGGCGAGCGTGTCGTTTTTGTACAATTCGTTCCTCCATCCGAGCAATACGCCGTGTTTAAGTTTGAGAGATTTGGCCATTCCGGACCCAGAGGGAGAGGAAATTTTTAAGTTTTTTAACGTTTTGGAATGTGTGTGCGAAAAGGGGTTTTATCACGGGGAGTGTTTTGTGTTGAAGGACCCCTCAGAAGTTTTGGAACGAGCTGTGTTTCCAAATTGGACACATTAATTTGTAGAAAAAGGATGAGGGGGTAGTGAACGTGAAGGAGCGGGCGCAGATTTAAGGGAAAAGCTTTGATTTCATTTTTTGGACGTGAGGGATCTGTTAGAAAGGTCGCAAATTGTTAAATGTCGTCGAGAATTTACATAATTATTTTCTAAACAAATATATGAACTTTTAATGATAATGAGAATTTGCATGACATGATAAATATTAAATTTTGTATGGGTTTGAGACTGGAGACCGGTAGGGAAATTTGAACTGGCTCCAGTCTGCCTGCTGATAATTGAGTTTTGTTCACATTTTTATCTTTTACAATTTGTATTTTTCTAAAGTTTTGACCTCTCCTCTCCTCCTCTTTAAATTAAATTAAATTTCAAGGTGTTCTTTTGTGATTGGTCGAGAGGAGAAGAGGAGGAAGTGCTTTGTAAAGTTAGCGTCGCTTTTTCGTGTGATATTCGTGCACAATTGTGAAAATTAAGACAGTGTCCCTCCAGCTACGAGAATAACAGCACGATTTCTCCACTCGTCTCTCTAACACTCAAAATTTGTAATTGGCTTTTGTGTGTAAAATAAAATGACACCAACCCAGTAACCAACTTGTGACCACACCGCCGCCTTATTTACGCCTACATGGTCACATTTTGCCACCGTTAGTTACACAAAAGTCACACCACACACACAGAAACATACAATTCTCTGTTTTAAAAAAAAACTACAGTTAAACTTTATACTTTTAATTGGGTATTTAATTATTAGTTTGTTTAATTCATTCATTATTTATACTGTAGTGCATTTTTGTTTATAATGTTCGTGAAAATGCATCAGAACAATTTGTGTGTTAAATACATTCATGCCTAAAAAATTATATTGCATAGTTTAAAATTGTTTTGAAAAGATTTTGAAACTATGTAAGCAAAATATTTGTATGTTAATTATTTATTTTATTCTCAGATTTGTCAATTCAATTATTTGTTAAGTTTTTACTAGTTATTATCATAAAACTATATTCTGATTAAATCAGGCACGCAAATAAATCATATTATTTTTTACTACATACATATCTATCTATGTATACGGAGAGATGGAAGCATTATTGTTTGATGGAAGATTGGATTAAAGTAAAATAAAAGACAAGATCGAGATGAAATCGTTTTATACACAGAAAACAATTTTGCATCGTAGGGTAAAAGAAGTCAAAATACCAAAAATGCATATTTCCAACTACTTATCTCAAAAAAGAACCTCCTCGATTATCAAAATCTGTTCAAATTCTCCACAAAAAAATCAAACCTGCATTATTGTATTGTAAATAGATGACGAACATATAATAATCAACTAACTAATATGTATAGTCAAAATACTACAATATAGTGAACATGGGATGGCACCAGACGTCGGATATGAATGACCGATGAAACCTCAAAATATGAATGAAAAATTACCGTAAAAATCCCCAAAATATGACCACAAAAATTACTTTATTTTTTAAATTTTTGGCTTAATGTTTTTATATTTTTTTCTTGTGATACTCAATCTTTAGCAATTAAACAAGTTCTGGGGTGATTTAATTCATTCCCAATGAATTAAATCACCTTAGAGTAAACAAAAGTCAATGTAAATTGACAATGTAAGTTTCTGACAATGAATCATTGTGAGAAAACTGAATCTTTTGTCATTTTCTGTCGATTTGGTTGCCAAATCTTAGAATCTCGCCAAAAATTATAAAATGAACGAAAAAAGCCCGAAATATGATCGGGAATATGAGTATGCCCCAAACCCCTAAAATATGACAAATATGAGAAAATATGCTTTGACCTGCGTGACCGTAAACATTCTCAGAAAGTTTGGCGACTGTAGGTCAATAAATGGAAAACGTCATGTTTCATTCATATCCGGCGTATGGATGTATGGATCACTAATTTTCCACTGGACCAATTTGTCATCTAAGAGTTGGCGACACATTTCCGTCTCTTCTTCGCCGTCCTGCTGAAATCAGTCAGATAATAAAAATATATAAAAATTTAAATTTACATATTTACAAACATCTTCGCTGATGAGAAATAATCTCAAAAATCTAAATAAATAAATAAGTACTCACCCCAATGGAAAATCCGGTCAGGTTAAGGACCCTCAACGACTTGGTGCATAATATCCCTTCAACAACGTAAAGTGGCAAGTGGAATGTTGACATGGGTGACATGTCCTCCAGGATAAGGTCGACCCGTTGGAGTTCTGCAAAATTAGAGAACAAAATATATAAAAGTTCCATTAGAAAAAAATCCCAGTTTTTTTTATTTGTCCATTAAATTCAACATTTTTAATATGAATGTACATACATATTTATAAATAATAGTAATTACTTAGCAACGTACCAGAAAATTTGGGCAAATATCTCTCCAACGCGGCATGAAATGATGCCGAAACCCTCTCATACCCTCGCATGAGTTGATCACACGCTAAAAACTTGACCTTGATCTTCTTAATCTTCGATTCGGCCAGCGTCTCCAGAACGTATCCCACGCAGATGTTTTTATACGCGAAACTGACCGCGAGCTCAAACTCCGTCACGTTTGGAAACATTTTTAGTATTTTATCAATCGACCCCAGATTTTCAAACGAGGGGACAAAGACCACATCGAGAACAACCTTCTTGACATGGACGTTGGCATAAATAGGATTTTCCCCCATGATTTCCTCCCTCGGCTTGAACATTGTTCCGTACACGGTATCCCTCATATCTCTCAAGGAGGAACGTCGACAATTGCGAATCTCCAGCTCCCCCAAATTTGGCAATCTTTTCAGAAAATCTGCACCCCCCACTCGCAAGCCTGATGCTTAAACACCCTGAGTTTTGGCATGAGGGGGAAATCCATCGTAATTCCGCCCTCATCCTTTTCTCCCCACTTGTCGCCAAACATGACCAATTTTTCCAAAAGGGGGCTCAACTTTTCTAAAAAGTGCATGAATTCGGTCGTCTGCACCGTGATTTTGGTATCGATCTTGAACGAGGTGAGTTTCGGGAAGTTCATGGAATTTAGCAAATTCAAGGCCACCTTGTCGAGTGGACCCCCGTGGAGGGAGAAGCTGGTCAGTTGGCCCGAAATCTGGGAGTCTTTCAACATTCTGAGGAAGATAGTGAAGGTTTCACCCCCACCGAGGCAGCCGGTCGTGAGATTCGTAGCGTTGGGGGCGATGGTGAGGAGGGATTTGAAAACTGCCACGCCGTTCAAGACAGTTCCCGGTCGGAGGGAGAAGGTGGTTCCGAATGAGATGGTAAAATGGCGGATTGAAGGTGACGTGAAATTCAGGATGGCAGGGTCGAGGGGGTCGTCGTAACGGAGAAATTGAAGGTTTATCAAGGCCAAGTGGGTCAAGGAGGGGCAGTCGCGACTCACAAGGTGGGACACTATGGAGAAATAGTGCTTTGAAGTGGATTCGGTCATGTCGTCAGCGTGCAGGGTGAGAGAGGTGAGGGAAGGACCAAACTTGGCGAAGAAACTGGACGCTCTATCGGACAGGAAGGGGGAGGAGGGGGGTGAGGGGCGGTGGACTCTGTAGGTGAGACTGGCCATGGGAAGGATGGCGGAGGAGGAGATCGTGGAGAAGAATTCTTCACTCCCTCCGCATAGGATGCGGATCTGGGAGCGGGATCGAAGCAGCGGGGTGGCCAGGACGGACCAGCGGGAGGACACGGTGCAGCAGGTCTTCAGAGTGGCGTGGTCCACGTAAGAGAAAATGGTTTCGAGGACCTGCGTAGATAAATTGGAGGGTATTTTAGTTAGTCTTGATAATTAGCCTTGATAATTACATTATCGAGATTGACAAATTATTCAGATATAAAACTCGCAAAATATTGTGCGAACTAGTATTGCATAAAATCATTTATATAAGGTGATGACATTATTTAAAGTAAAATTAAGTATTGGAGAAAGCTTAATTTTTATAATTTAATTGTGCATATAAGTAGTTGTCTCAACTCGCCTCTTATTTATATTTTAAAGCGATAAACCATTGGATGATTTTATATGTAAATCACCACTGGATGTCTCAATCTGCCTCACATACGAAAATAATGTAATGTGAGTACATATATGTAAGTCACATTTGCTCTTTAAATTAATCCCCTTAACTAACAACTAATAACTCAACTATTAGCAAATGATAACCGGCTTCTTACATATGTATATTTAAAACCAACAAAATAGCATACAAATTTTTGAAATAATTCCACCAAAATCTAGTAAATATTTTTAGGCAACTAATTCTTCAATTGTCGCATTTTAGAATCTGACTTATTTTCAGAAATTATTATTATAATGAATCTATGTATGTATAATTATTGGTTAAAACTGCAGGGAATATGAGACGGCGTAAAAAAAATAATCTCACGGAATATTATTTGTGCGATAAAATCTCAACTGCGCATGCATGTAAATTAATTGCTAAAACCAGGATTGAATTACTCACCTCCGCAATCAGGAGCGGGTGTGTTTGTCGCCAGCTTGTCGCCTCCTCCTTGGAGACGACGGCGAGGGGTTGTTTTTGGTCGCCCAGGATTTGTGGTGAAATTTTCTCCATCCTTTGGGGCGGAGAATAGTCTATGAAATTGGATCCCTGGTTGTTCTTCTCAGCGTGAATGCTGCATCCCGGGACAATATCGTTAGCGATTTCCATAATGGACACTTCAAAGTTCTCTTCTTATCAAGCACTAGGATTGTATTGTTCTTGTACTTCTTCAGTTATAGATACTCACTCACTTTAATGGGGGAAATAATTTTGACGGGTTTTACAAATGTTGTGGTTGTGCAGTGGATTGATTTTTATTAGCTAAAATGCTACGAAATATGGGTACTGAACGAGGACAAAATTATGGTTGTCGAACGCTGGACTTTTTATTTAATGGAGGCAGTCAGTCATAAATGTGGGAAGCAGTTAAATGCATATTTAGCACGTCATGCAAAGTGAAGGGTCGGGAAGCGCGATACCTGAGGAAAGGTTTTGAGGTACCGAAATAAGTTTCTTGGTAAACTGGGATTACAAGTAATATTTCCAGCCAGCACTTGCTAAACATTCTATTCTGAGGAATATCCGAGAAAAGATATTCCAATGTTTTCACAAAGCGTATATACTCAATATTTTTCAGACCACACATTTCTGGAAGTTTTCGCTGCTCTAAGTCTTAAACGATACTTTTCACAAATCATATTATAAATAAATAAATATAAAATATTTATGAATACAAAATGTTAATGCATTTAAGCTTCGAGTCATTGTGGAAAATATGATAAAACTCGACATCAAATTGGCAACTTGTCTAGAATGGATTTAAATCCAATCAAAGGTTTCGACATTATGATATTGTACATATACGAATGCTTATTTCTCTACATAAGGATCTATCCAATAAGCTAGTAAATACATGAAACTGTCAGAATGTAAAATTTGCTAAATTCTAATGAGAGTATTCATTATTTAAAATATTTTACGAACAAAAAAGGGCTCAAGCTTCGTAAAAATTGTTACCTGAAGAACATTATCTTTGTGACAAAATTTTACTCGCTTACAAAATCTCGTAACTGTCGTACGTACATAACTTATTTTACGATGCGAAGAATGCTAAGGATACGAAGGAATAATGAACAAGTCGACGCGACATTAACAAAACCTGGCATTGTTTTTAGACATGTCTCCGAACGCAATAATTAACACGATTTGGATTTGTTCCAGTACCCATTTGTAATGCACGGGTTTTAGAGACAGGACTTAATGCAATGCTCAATTTTTGGATTTTTTCCCAAATTAATACACAGATATTCATGGACGATACTTATGTAAATATATTATGGGTCCCTTTTTTCCGTCTGGACATTGAACAATTGAGCATTCCCATGAATCTATATTTATAAAAAAGGTCGAGTTTTTCCAGGTAAGCTATTTTAAACCTGTATCATTCATTCTACGGTATATGGGCTAGCATTGCATTTTCTCTCCTCATTCACTTCGATGGACTGAGATCTTTTCATAGCACTTTTTTACGTTAATAAGTTTCACTTCTTGCTCTTCTCTTCAGGCTTAATTATTACGTAGGTTGGTAAATAACTCACAAGTTAACTAAAGCTGGAGAAATTATTTATTGTGTTAAAATAAAAGTAAATTTTTATTAGTTTTTCCCAGTGGACAAGAAGCCCGAAAAGAATCTTTATAAAAATGGATTTGGACCGCAATCATGACAACGAGAATCCTCACCTGGCCGTTCTACTTCCGGAGGTAAGCATTAAAATATGTATTTGCAAATGTACGTATGTCTTATATATGTGTACAGCAAAAAATGTGTTGAGAAAGAGAAGAATATTTACATATTTACATATTTTAACACTGGCCATACTCACGAAGACGTCTCATTGATTATCATTTAAAAAATTTTCGAAGCTCAAAAACTTTATGGCGGGTCGGGATTCACAAAATATGACTTCGTAAAATCTCGTAAATCTACATACATATGTAGATATTTCTAAAAATACCAGTTTTCATGTTTTTTCGATGAATTTCTGTAACTTCTCTCGCTGAGGATAATGAGGATCAATTTGCGAAATAATTTTGCATGCCAATTAATTAACATGCTAATTTAATAAATACTTACATATGTTCATAGAAAAACTTATGAAAAAGTCCCATGCAAAAGTCCAGCAAAAGTTTTGTGAAACCTAGCAAATTTCACAAACATTTCGCAAGTTGCAATGTTCAAGTTGCGAAGTTGTCGTGAGTATGGTCACTACTACATGAATAAAATTATCTAGCTCCCAGTTTTTCATCTTAATATTACTTGCTTATTAGTATTTTACGTCCGAGTATATAATTTCTTCGGGTTTCTAGATTGCAACGAACATTGTCACCTTCCTCCCCAAATCGGACCTCATCTCGTCTTGCACCTTGATCAACTCGACGTGGGAACACGAAGCCAGAAAACGTTTCGCCCTATCCTGGTTTCTCATGAACGCAGAAAATGTCGCCCAACGCCAAGAAATGTCTTCCGTCTGGGAAAACTATGCCAGAAACATTGCGGTCTCCGAATTCCCCAATTTATCTCGGGAAGGCCCCTGTGGAAACTTTATTTCTACCCATGGCCACAAAGTGAAACGATTGCAGACTCGGCTACTCCCATCAGATGTCACATGGCCCCAATATTTCGAAACCTTGTCAAACTCATTCCCCAATCTGACATCGATCGCGTTAGTTTTCGACAATCTGGATGACACCGATTCTCCCCAAAAAAACCGGGTGTTCTTTACGAAAGTTAAACACCTAGCAATCTACACGTCCTCAGACTTCGAGGGAACCCAGCAAATACTAAGGACCCAATTGGTCCCCTTATTTCCAAATCTTGTTACCCTCTTGTGCCAAACAATTTGTCCTTCCGTGGTGAGATCCTTCCTAAAGAACGCCCCCACTCTGACCTCCTTGACCTTGATCAACACCGTATTAGTTGGTCCAATCCGAGAACACGTGGTAAAGCTGACCCGGTTAGAAATCGGGAACAGTCTCTTCCCCGCCTTCTTGGAGCCAACTTTATCCGCCTTTCTTGAAATTTCATCGGGAACGCTGGAATATCTGAGAGTAACCCTGGTAGCAAATATTGATCCACATTTGGTACGAAATTACAACGGTTTGGACATATTTTTACCCATCCTTCCGAAATTGCGGGTTTTTGAACTTGTCCACAATGACTTCGCGACACGGCTTAAGGGTAGCACAAATTCGCTGGTGACACCCGCCGTAAATCTGAAATTTGAAGGGAGTAGTACAGAAACGAGGTTAATTTATGCCGAGCAGTTCCCCGTTCTGGAAACTTTACGGATTTTGAAGGGCGTCCCTTCTCAAAATGATAAATTGACGGAGCAAGAATTTTATGAGGCGAGTGTATCCTTTTTGTACAATTCGTTCCTTCATCCGAGTAATGAGGCGTGTTTAAGTTTGAGAGACTTGGTCATTCCGTTCCGAGCGAGAGGGGAAATGTTTAAGTTTTTTAACGTTTTGGAATGTTTGTCCGAAAATGGGAAATGTTTTAAGTGGAAAGACCCCTCAGAAGTTTTGAAAAGGGTGATAGCTGTTTTTCCAAATTTGATACAATTGGAGACGGAGGATTTTGGGGGGTAGTGAAAGTGAAGGAACGGGCGGAAATTTAAGGGAAAAAGCTTGATTTTAATTTCTGATGTGAGGGATATTTAGTTAGTAACTAATAGTTATAGAAAGGTCACAAATTGTTAAGTTTTATAATTTTAATTACAGATATATTTAATTTATGTGTTTTAATTATTGGATTTTTGAATAGATTTTTTTACCATATTCATATTTTTGCTTACAATGTTGGCGAAAATGCACTAGAATAATTGTTATATTAAACCGTGGTCAAAATGTTTAAAAGGTTAGAGTAAATGCATAGGTTAAAATTGTTTTTTTTCAGAAACAATAAAATATTTAGATATTTTGTGACTAATTCTCTTTGGTTTTTTCTTTCATTGATATTTAACCCATATACAAGTCTAAATTGGAATTGGATGTTAATATTTATTTACATATGTAAGCGGCTGCGTCATCCTTTCTGCTTTGTGGCGCTTGGACGTTAAGTTTAAACCCAATGACCCGATCAACGGGAGCGGGGAATCGACATTTCCCTGCTGGACGGGCAGGTCGCCCCTGAAAAAAAATGTTGCTCAAAGTATTAACCACCGTAAATGCTCAATTTATAATATCCGGGGCTACAATAATAGGGCTAAACTCCAAAACTAATAATAGAGGTTTCTCAACGTATTCTCACAGATTTGGACCAAACTAGCGTCATTCGATCACAAATATAATTAGTATGAAATTTGCAAATGGAACTATCTGCCAATGCGCAAGTTTAGCGGAGACATTTACATCCAAAGCGAGAAAAATGCGCAGAAAATTTGGAAAATGAAAAATTTGTAAGCCTTGGAGGTGTGTTTCTCCTTTTTTTATGTAAATACCCCTGCTAAACTTGAGTATTGGCAGATAATGCCGTTTGCAAATTCCATACTAATTATATTTATGATTCACAAATATAATTACAGATTTTCTGCAGATCTGTAGATAACTACAGATTTTCTGGCTAGTGAACTGAAAATATGTAGAAATACGCGTTCATATGTACATACAAAATTTCTGTTTTTCAACCGTTGTCTATACATATTTATACATTAAAAATGTCAAATTGCACAAAAATTGAGTTTCAATCTCATGAATGAACATTATATATTTTTGAAACATGTTACATACAAATCCAACAATTCATTACAAATTATTTGCTTCTTTGTACTCTGATCAATAAGTTCTTTCAAATAACAGTGTTCGAATACAAGTTGTGCATGTAATGACTCAAAAATGCTCTAAAAAAATGTAAATTCTTGAGCTTTCGTATTTTTTAAATTTATGAAATCAAGCAATCAAACAATCAATTTATGTACCAGATGTCAAATAACTTGATGACAACTGCAAATCCAACTAGATATTAAGCTACAAACTATTTAATTGCCAGTGAAAGACTAAATTTTGAAATCACAGATATCCAGTTAATAATCAACTTTTAGTAAAAAGATAACGTCGTACTAATTCAGAAAAGACCTAAGTGCAGTGGATGCTTTATTCAGAAAAGACCTAAGTGCAGTCGGTGTTTAATTCAGAAACGACCTAAGTGCAGTCGATGCTCAATTCAGAAAAGACCTAAGTGCACAGAAAAAAAGCAAAAAAAGACCTATGTGCAAGTATGTATTTACTTGTGGCTAAATCGCGCGATATATATGAAAAATCATTTTGGCAAGATTTAGCCATAAGTAAATACATACTTGCACATAGGTCTTTTTTTGCTTTTTTTCTGTGCACTTAGGTCTTTTCTGAATTGAGCATCGACTGCACTTCGGTCGTTTCTGAATTAAACACCGACTGCACTTAGGTCTTTTCTGAATAAAGCATCCACTGCACTTAGGTCTTTTCTGAATTAGTACGACGATAAAGAAAGTTGAAGCCAGAAACCACAAATCAGCAACAAATACATATGAACTCAAATTACTCAATGTTTCTATTACTAGATGAATCATTTGCAATTTTATAGTTTGAAATTTTCAAATTGAAAAGTATTTTAAATTTTTTGCTTATATAAACGACGGATTATAACTAATTAAAAATTACATTTAATGAATTATTTAATGCAATTACAATTGCTAATTAGTAATTTGGTATGGCTTAAATATATAAAAATGATTTTTAAAATGGTGACCTTAGCTGATGACGACCCGTTCGATGTCACTTACGGTTTCAGATTAATTCTTATTTTGACAGGTCAAATTAATTCGTTGATTTCAAATACCTTACGTATGTATTTGCAACATGAATCTTCCATTAGCAAATCATTACTGCATGAATCAAATTGGTTTTTCTTTCTTGAATTCAGCGTCAGGGAGTAAAAGTAAGTACATATGTGATCTTCTGCGTCATTTGAGTGCATTGACGTACAAAGATTTTAAAGTGACATAATGTTAAATATGCAATATGGGTGTATGCTAATTTGAGCGAGGTTATCACATGGTAGGTTTGTGAGCACTGAGATTTCAAGTGGGCTCAGATTTGCACCCCATCTTCTACCATATACATATGTACACCATTTTGGCATATAATTACATACACATGAGATACTAAATATGTACATAAAACAAAATCTCAGATGCGTATATACAAATCAGTACGTAGTGAAATTCCAGGGTGAAATACATATGTAATATTTTATTCTGGCAGATGATTTCACCTCTTGAAACCAATTAATATGCAATTCACAATCAATTATGTTTTGAAACACTTGACGAAAAAGTTATTATTGGGCAAGGGCGTGTGATTTTCTAATGACGACAAACTTATGTAAGAACAATTTTGATAAGCTACCCCTATATTAACCGAGCCAAGTTGGTTGTACCTTCACTGCTATCTGGAAGACCAACAATTCAACTGGGGGTTTTCGAAAATAAATTGAAATTTCCGACACAAAAAGATTTACGATGCAACGAGTGACCATTGCAATCTTGGCAATAGGGTTTGCTTGTGGGAATGCGGGTAGGTTCTATGGATTTAAATGGATTTTTAATTGGATTTATTGAAAAAATTAAGATTTAATGACTGATTAATTAACGTAGCCTTTCTAAATGAAACGACGGAGCTGCCACCCATTAATGGCACCACCTGGGAACCACCCGTCAATGGCACCACGTGGGAACCACCAGTAAATGGCACTACTTGGGAACCACCAGTAAATGGCACCACGTGGGAACCACCCGTCAATGGCACCACGTGGGAACCACCCGTCAATGGCACCACGTGGGAACCACCCGTCAATGGCACCACGTGGGAACCACCAATAAATGGCACTACTTGGGAACCACCCGTTAATGGCACCACGTGGGAACCACCCGTCAATGGCACCACGTGGGAACCACCCGTCAATGGCACCACGTGGGAACCACCAATAAATGGCACTACTTGGGAACCACCCGTTAATGGCACCACGTGGGAACCACCCGTCAATGGCACCACGTGGGAACCACCCGTCAATGGCACCACGTGGGAACCACCAATAAATGGCACTACTTGGGAACCACCCGTTAATGGCACCACGTGGGAACCACCCGTGAATATAACAACCCCTTCGAACCAAACAATCTGGATGATTGCCTATTAACCAAAGGGTACCGAAATTTTACTCCTGGAAACAAACACTGCAAATTTATAATTTCTGTCTGATTTTTAAAATATTTCCTCACTATATAACTCTGTTACAAATTAATTCATTCTACCTTAATCGATTCGTCTTTTAAATAGGAATATAATAAAATGCATATTTATTGACACATAAATTGTGAATAGTCGAAGTAAATTATTTCTGATCGTATGTTATACGCTATTGGAGTAACTGCAATTATGCGACTTTTGGCATCACTTTTACACGAGTTTGCTTAATTTCATATCTGGTCTCGTGCCACTTATTTACGACACTTAACTTTGCGACAACAGGCACACTTTATGAAACACAAAGACAAATCTTTAGATTTATTTTTTTAAGATAATTTTGACTCCTCGTCACCAAAGCATGTCAAAGAACTCCACGGGGTTAAGAAATTAAGTTAAATTTCGGAAAACCTCCCCACACAATTTGCATTTTTGTTTAATTCACAGTAATTTCAACTTGAAATTTTCAAGTAATATGTAAGCACAGTATGAAAGACTTGCTATATAATCATTCACTTTCGAATAATAAAAAAAACATTTCAAAATTCCAAAATGGGTTTTAAATTGAATTGTATTCTAGTTTATTGCTACAATTCCTCATGATACAGGCTAAAAATTCATGTTGGAAGGGGAACGTCGATCGTGTTGACCGCGTTGGGCCGGACCACCGAATCCTGGTCGGTTTCCGCCAAGCTGCATTTCAGCCTGTTCCGCATGTTCGGTAATGTCGTCCAGTTCCTGTCGTCCAGTTCCTGTTGAGCTTTGTTGAACTTGGCGACCGCAAAAATAAGTCAAATTTTCAATAAGAAATATTTAAATTTTAGAAAGTTATGAAATTTTGAATTCCAATTTTGGACTAACGATTCAATGTGACAATTTTTCCTCCTGTAAATTAAAAGAAATGCTAAAAATTCATGAGTACAATTTTGGATAATAAATATTATAAAGAATGGTATTTTATATTAAGGTTTTCAACACTTTGAAATTAAAAAAAAATATCGCACAATTTTAGTAATAGAGGCGATTTAGGAATTTGCAACTTTGGAATATGTGCATCTTAATTTTGCCATTTTTTATACACCGCTTCTTCAATCTGCCTCTTGTACGTGCGAATCTTTTGTTGCAACTTTTCTTAAGATCCTACATCTTTTCATGATTCTTGCTATCCTCGTCGGACTGGAAGGACAACTCTTTCACGCGACGGTCACAATTTGGTAAAGGAATAAAGGTTTTAAATAAATCTTTGAAGGGAATCTTCTTGAGACAGAATATTGAGATGGGGGGTTTTAAAATTGGGAGTTATGAGATTGAGAAATTTGCGATTGGGGATTTTGAGACTGGAAATTTTGAAACTAGGAATTTTTAGATGGAGAATGTTGAGATTGGGAACTTTTTGTTATAGGGAATTTTGGTGCTAAACTTTATACTTTATGCGGGAATAATTTCTTAGCGGAGTACTGGAAATGCGAGACAATCTACTGGAAAATCCCTCATATATCCCTTTGCAATCGTACAACATAGCCCAGGTAATAAAATCACTACGCCATGTATCGATCTGTTTAAGAAGTCGGTCTAAAAAGATAAGATTTTCTTCAAACGGGTTAACCCCTCTGAAGAAAATCTTACTGATGTATTTTTTAGTAATTACATAAGTATGTCCAATTGGATAATTATACAAATTCATTAAAATATTTAGAAGAGCGTTTGTACATATGCAAATCTAAATCTCACATAGCCCCTCAATGTCAACTACACTAATAAACATATGTACATAGGTAATAATATTTGTATATATCTATGCGTATTCTTACCAAAGGAGAGTGAGAGAGATACATCAAACATGAGATCAATTTTGACTATTAAATTTGGTATACTTTAGTTTCAAGAGCTGAAGAATACAGACACAAATGCTTAAAAAAACTTGGTAAAATATTGTCACAAGATTCTGTGCAAACCTTTACATAAAGATTATACCTATATACTATACTTTTAATCCATCATTTTTAACGGCACAAAAAAACCGTCACCAAATAATAAAGTTTAAAAAAGGTATGTGTGCAAGCAATTATTTAATGTGGATCTTGCGCCTGTCGATTTGCTGGCTAATGAATTGAAAATATGTGGTCGCCATATATATGTCCAGCATTAGCTTTTACATATGTAAATACGTAAGTACGCAGCTGCATACATTACTTAAAAATGGTATGTCAAATTGCACAAACAATTGGGAGTTTTAATTTCGGGCATCAATATTACATTTTTGAGTCGTGAGCCTACAATTTATGTTACGAATTACTTCGTTTTTTGTACTGTGGCCAATAAGTTCTTTCAAATAAGAGTATTCGAATATAATTCGTGCATGTTGGGATTTAGTGGCTCAGAATGTTTAAAAATATAAACTATTGAGTTCTATTTGCTATTAAAAAATACTTCTGAAATCAATAATGAATCAGTCAGTTTACGAGATGTCAATTAGGATAATTAATCAAACCTGGAAATCCAACGAGATAATAAGCTACAAGTTATTTAATTACAGATGAGAGACTAACTTTTGAAATGATTTATTCTAATTTTTGACAGGTCAAATTAATTCATTGATTTCGACTACCTTACGTATGTATTTGCAACACGAATTTTCAATTAGCAAATCATTGCTGTATGAATCAGATTGTTTTCTTTCTTTCTTGACTTCAGCGCCAGTGAGTAACATTAAGTATGAATGTGATGTTCTGCGTCATTTGCGTGCATTGACGTGCACGCAACGGTTTTAAAGTGACATAACGATATGTTTGCAATATGGTGTATACAAATTTAAGTGACGTTATCACATGGCAGGTTTGTGAGCACCGAGATTTCAAGTGTGTTCAGATTTACACCCCATCTTATTTATTTTCATATGTAAATTTGAACAGAATCATTTCATCTGTGATTTACTCGAGACTTGTTTGACATATTAAAACCATTTTTGCACATATAATTTTGCACACGACTAAATTGAGTAAAATGTTAGTGCGTAATAATCAATACGTAGTGAAATTCCTGAAGAAAATAATATTTCATCCTGGCCGATGACTTCACCCCTCGAAACCAATTAACATCCAATTCACAATGGATTATGTTTTTGGACACTTGACATCGAAGTCATTATGGAGACAAAGACATGCGACTTTTTAATGACGTCAAATTCATCCAACAATGATATGCAAATCTCCACATGTGAAGCGCATGTCTGGGAAGTTTAACTGCGATAAGATCAATTTTGATAAGCTTCCCCTATATTAAGAGAGCCAAGTTGGTTATAACTTCACTTTCTAGAAGACCAGTTATCCAACTGGAGATTTCCCTTGCAAAAATAAGATTTCCGATAAAAAGAGATTCATAATGCAACGGATAATTTTTACAATCTTGGCAGTAGGCATTGCTTGTGGGAATGGGGGTAGGTTTAAGAGTAATTTTAAATTGCATACATTGATAATGCTAAAATTGAATGATTATCAAATAATTAATGATTAAAAATAATGAATCTAGCCGTTTTAAATCAAACAACGGATTTGCCCCCCATCAACGGCACTACCCTGACACCACCTGTCAACGGCACTACCCTGGCGCCACCTGTCAACGGCACTACCCTGACACCACCCTTCAACGGCACTACCTTGACACCACCCGTCAACGGCACTACCTTGACACCACCCGTCAACGGCACTACCTTGACACCACCTGTCAACGGCACTACCTTGACACCACCCGTCAACGGCACTACCCTGACACCACCCTTCAACGGCACTACCCAGGCTCCACCCGTCAACGGCACTACCTTGACACCACCCTTCAACGGCACTACCCTGACACCACCCGTCAACGGCACTACCTTGACACCACCCGTCAACGGCACTACCCTGACACCACCCTTCAACGGCACTACCCAGGCTCCACCCGTCAACGGCACTACCTTGACACCACCCTTCAACGGCACTACCCTGACACCACCCGTCAACGGCACTACCTTGACACCACCCTTCAACGGCACTACCCTGACACCACCCGTCAACGGCACTACCCTGACACCACCCGTCAACGGCACTACCTTGACACCACCTGTCAACGGCACTACCTTGACACCACCCTTCAACGGCACTACCCTGACACCACCCGTCAACGGCACTACCTTGACACCACCCGTCAACGGCACTACCTTGACGCCACCTGTCAATGCAACAATCCCATCGAACCAAACAATTTGGTTAATTGCTTAAACCAAAGGAAACCGAAGTTTTACCCCTGGCAACAAATAATGCAAATTCACCACTTCTATCGAATTTTTGTTTAACTTCCTTACTATCGAACTCTGTAACAAATCAATTTATTCTACCCTTAATCGATTCTTCTTGTAAATCGGAATTTCAGATATCTTCTCTAAAAATTGTTTAGGTATTAAATGTAATAAAACATATTGACATTGCACATGCATACATTGTGAATTTTGTGTGCAAATTATTTATGATTGCATGTTGCATGTTACTGGTAATTGGAGTAATTGCAATTGTGCGATTTTTAGTATAAATAAATTTTACATGAGTTTGCTTAATTTCGTATCGTATTTCGCGTGCCACATGTTTTGTTAAAGGATTCTTCCTTTTTAAGATAATTTTCACTCCTCGTCATCGCAGCAGGGTAAACAACGCTGTGTCCCAACGTGGTCAAAAAACTTCGGAAAACTTCCCCCGCGATTTTCGTTTTGTTGCATTAGAATAATTTAAATTAATATGCACAGCATCAAAGACTTGCTAGATAACTATTCAATTCAGAATAAAAAACATTTCAAAACTCAAAAATGGTTTTTAAATTGAATTGCATTCTAGTTTATTGCCATACTACAATTCCTCATGATACAGGTAAAGGCTAGAAATTCATGTTGGAAGGAGCACGTTGACCGCGTGGACCATGTTGGGCCTGACCAACCCCACCGAATCCTGGTCGGTTTCCGCGAAGCTGCATCTCTGCCTGTTCCGCACGCTCGGTAATGTCGTCCAGCTCTTGTTGAGCTTTGTTGAACTTGGCGACTGCAAAAATAATTTAAGTTTTTAGTAAGAAATGTTTCAATTTTGAAATTAGGTTTTAAAATTGTTAACTCACGATTCAATGCGGCAATTTCCTCCTGTAGATTAAAAGAAATGTAAAAACACGTGATTAAAATTTTGGGTAACAAATATTATAAAGGGTGGTATTTTAAATTCGAAGGATTTTTACGCGTTAAAATTTGCAAAAAATTTCGCACAATTTTAATAGTAGTGGCGATTTAGAAATTTTCAAATTTACAACCTTGAGGTCAGACTTGCTAGTTTCTGGCTCGGCGAACCGGTGCGCTCACTTGCTTAACTTAGGTGTGGTGGTTCGCCGCACCAGAAATTAGCAAGTCTGCTTGAGATATTTTCAAGCTTATTTTTGCTATTTTTTTTTTACATACCGCTTCTTCTATCTGCCTCTTGTACGTGCGAATCTTTTGTTGCAACTTTTCCAAGAGATCTTGCATCTTTTCGTGATTCTTGCGATCCTCGTCGGACTGGAAGGACAACTCTTTCACGCGACGGTCACACTTGCGCATGTTCTTCTGCGCGTCGACGTGGCGTCTTTGTTCAATATCCAGTTCGGCCTCGATGTTATGGAGTTTGCTCTCAAGCTTGGCGATTTGACCTTTGGCGCCTTTCATGGCGTCGGCTGTGGGCAAAGTTTTAAATGTATTACATATTTTATGGGAATTTTGAGATTGGAGGTTTTAAGTTTTGGGGTTTGACGACTTTTGGAATTTTAGAGATTGGGGATTTTGAGACTGGGAATTTTTTGCGACAAGAAATGAGAAATTTGAAGCAACGAATTTTGAGATTTGGGGGTTTTGAGACTGGGAATAGGAAATTTGAGATAAGCGATTTTGAGACAAGCAATTTGGAGATTTGGGAATTTTGAGACTGGGAATGGGAAATTTGAGATAAGCGATTTTGAGACAAGCAATTTGGAGATTTGGGAATTTTGAGACTGGGAATGGGAAATTTGAAGCAACGAATTTTGAGATTTGGGGGGTTTGAGACTGGGAATGGGAAATTTGAGATAAGCGATTTTGAGACAAGCAATTTGGAGATTTGGGAATTTTGAGACTGGGAATGGGAAATTTGAGATGAGGGATTTTGAGACAAGGAATTTTGAGATTTGGGAATTTTTAGATTGGGAATGGGAAATTTGAGACAAGGAATTTTGAGATTGGCAATTTTGAGACGTAAAATTTCGAACTTTAATTGTATACCTTCAGCGACCTCTAGCCTGACTTGCAACTCCTTCATCTGGAACTCCATTGACTTTCTGGTCTTATCTTGCGTGTTGGCGTACTCTTGTTCGAGCCGAAGTTCATCGGCGAGGCGTGCAGCATCGACCATGGCTTTTTTCGCCATTTCTTCCTGCTTCTTCGCCTCGTTAAGGGTACCTTCCAATTCGGTCTGTAAGAAATGTCATAATTCTTCAGAAATACATTCCCGAGGAATTTAATTTAAAAATCAACTCACATGCACAGCTTCCAGCTCGCTATCCAACTTCCTCTTAATCCCGCTCAACATGCCGACTTGTTGGCCATACTCGTTCAGCGATTCTCGAACCGTGACTAGATCGCCCTCTGCAAGGCGGCGGGCCCGATCAGCCTGTTCGTACAGGGTGCGGGACTCTTCTAGCTCGCTGGCGAGGGCGTGACCGCGTCTCTGCGACGTTCCGTACTCCTCGCGGAGTTCCGTGTGCAGGCGCATCTCTTCATCGAGCGCGGTTTGGACGTCCTTCAATTGTTGGATGAACTTCTTGATGGCTTTTTGTGCTTCCGCGTTGGATTTGTTGGCGTGATCGAGAGCGATTTCGAGCTCATTGATGTCCGATTCGAGCTTCTTCTTCATTCGGATGGCTTCCGCGCGGCCGTTGGTTTCGGCCTCGAGGGATGCTTGCATCGAGTCAAGGGTGCGTTGATAGTTTTTGCGGGTGTTCATAAATTCTTCCTCCTTCTCTTGAATTCGGCGGTCGATTTCTTGGCGGACCTGAAAATTTTAGACGAACTTGAATGAAATAGTGTTTTAGAACACTATTTGCAATTCTTGTTTGCGGTGAAAGAAACCACGTGCAAGAACCACGTGCAAGAAATTATGATTTTTTTGCAGGCATAATTTCATACAACCGTGCGGGAAATCAGGCCTATCTAGAGGACAATCCCCATATCTAACTGTAGTGCAAAGATTGAGCCGTTAGGTGGCGCTTATCTCTTGAATTTTTTTGCAATTTATTGCAGTGCTGTGCAAGAAATGTGCAATAAATTAGCATAAATTTTGCAAAACTGACCTGACTTAGCTCCAATTGTACCCTGAGGACCTTATTCTCTTCTTGTTCAATCGCACTCTCCGCCTCTTCAAGGGCCGCTTGAAGTTCATCCTTTTCAACTTGGATGCGTTGACGGGCTTTTTCAAGCTCGTGGATGTTCCTTCCTCCCTCGTTAATCTGTTCCATGATGTCTTTCGCTTCCTCGCACAGGTTTTTGTTTTCCCGCCGAACAATCTCAATTTGTTCGAGTTGTTCCTCATAGAGGGCTTTTGTTCGGAAGAGCTCGGTCGAGTAGTTTCGAGCTTCTTTGCGTGACGCGTCCAACTCTTGGGCGAGATCGTTGACCTTGTTCTTCCATTCGTGGAGGATGTTGTCGTAGTAGACTTGCTTTTTCTCCATCTGGGCGACAATGGTGGAGTTGCGGTCGACTTCGATGCGCATGTCGTCTAGGGCGGTGGTCAAGCGCTGCTTGGTCTTTTCGAGAGTGATACCCTTTCCTTTGAGGGATTCGATGGTTTCTTCAGCTTCGGCGAGGCGGGCTTGCAGTTTTTGTCTGAAAGCGGAAATCAGTTTTATTTTAATGTTACCCTTCGATTTTGAATATTTTATAAGTAAATATTTGTATTATTTTTTTAGCTATTTTTTTAGTGTGACTAGTATTCATGAGTCATGACAACGCGCGTCTTATTTAGCAACGCAGCAAATTTAGAAAATTTGGCAAGCTTAAAAAAATTAGGGATTAGGGGATTCGTAAAATATGATTTCGAAAAAGTACACAATCAGTCCTGTTAATCTTACATATTTTGTTTCAGTTTCGATTGATTTCCTCAAATTTGTATTACTTGTGAAGGAGAGGATATATTTGCGAAATAATTTTTCAAAATTAAAGCTTTCCAAGTTAATGGATAAATTAGGGACAACATCGAATTTTTTTAAGATAAAGCTGTGCAACAACTGAAAAATTGAAGACACTGGACAAGTTAAATATTTTTTGACGCACAATTTGCGAGATGTGCAAAATTGGTTTAGTAATTACTGACACGGGAATTTATTGTTTCCCTGAAATTTCAGTATATGACCAAACCAATAAAATTCTTACTTTGCCCCCTCCAGCTCCTCAATCTTGGCTAGGCCTTCGCTCTCATATTTGCCACGGTACAGCTGCGCCTCCGCGTTCGCTTTGCTGATCGCCTTTTGAGTTTCGCTCTTCTCCTCGGCGATCTCTTCAAATTGTTCGCGCAGAATGGCGACGTCATGTTCCACGTTTCTATAGCGACCGAGTAGACTCGCTTTTTCGCGCGACTCTTCGTCCGCCATACGTTTCGTGTCCTCCAACTGGGTGGCCAAGCTGACCTTGACCTTTGACAGTTGGCTCGCGGTGGATTCAGCCTCTTCGATTTGCCGGGCCAAGTCGTTATTGTCCATGCTGTATTTTTTCTTTCCTTGCTCGCAGTCGTTGAGGAGACGCGCCATGGCGTCGTACTTGACTTGAATTTCGTGAAGTTGTTGCTGCAAGTGGTTTCCGAGCTTTTGTGCGCCGGCCTTCTCATTAGTGGAGTAATCGAGAGTGGCTCGAAGTTCGTCAAGCTCAGATCCTGTGGAGAAAGTCGAAAATTGAGCGAAATGGATAATGTGTTTTTAGGTGCACATTGCGAAAAAAAAAATTGCGAAATTAATCTAAATAGGTATTTAATTAGACTGGTCTGGGAGAGAAAGTCAACAATTAATAAAAATTTCAAATGGATTGATGCTCTCTTGTTACACATGGCAAAAATTGAGAAAACTTGAAAATGTAATTATTCGTATCGACTTACGCGTCGCTCCGCGATCCTTCTCCGCCTTTGCCTTCATCTTGTTCAAGTTATCAATCCGTTCCGCCATTTCGGCAACTGAAACATTCCAAGCAATTCATAGTTAACATTCCCCTTAACCTTTTAAACCGTTGTCATTCTTACGTACCTGCGTCGTTATGCTTCTTTCTCACTCCCGCCATAGTTGCTTCATGCGTCAAATTAGTCTCTTCCATTTCCCTTCGCAGCTTCTCCAATTCGATGTCGCGTCTCTTATTCAGCTCAATTTGGGACGCCGTCTGACCTCCCGCCTCTTCTAAACGACCCCCCAAATCCTCCAACTCTTTGGCCAAATCTGACCTTGCTTTTGCCGCCTTCGCGCGCGCCTGCCTCTCCAACTCGAGCTCTTCCTCTAGCTCATCAATTCTCGCTTGAAGTTCCTTAATTTGCCTCATCAACTTTGCAATCAGCGTATTTTCCTCCTCCAATTTGGCCGAGAGAGACGCAATCTCCTTATCTTTTCGCTGGATGGCCTGCTCAATCTCCTTCTTGTTCCGCTCTAAATCGGCCAAAGCTTCCTGATTCATTTTCAGATCGGACTCAATCTTCGTCTTCAATTTTTCAATGTCGCACCTATGTTTCTTTTCTCGCTCTAGATTGTCTTCAAGTTCGTCCATGGCACGTTCTAGTTTGACCTTAATTTTCATCAAGTGATTCATCTTGTCTTCTTGCGCTTGACAATCTTCCGACCGCTTTTTCTGACCGTCTTGAATATGCTTCTTTTCTTTAGTCAATTTAGCGATAAGATCTTCCTGATGGGAAAGTTCCACCTTGAGATTCTCGATCTGCGCCGCTTTACCAGCTGTGTCACCCTCCAGCTGATCGATTCGCCCGCTTTGTTCTTCCAGCTCGCCCTTCATCGTTCCAATCTCCGTTTCGATACGTTTCTTCTGAAGATTGAGCTGCATTCGGGCCTCTTCTTCTTGTTGAAGGCGATGATTGTAATCGTTGACTTGTGCGTCAAGCTCAGATTTTTGCGCGTTGAGGGAGTGGATCTTGCTGCCGAAATCGGATCCGAGCGCTTTAAGTTCTTCCAGCTGGTTGCGAACGGTCTTCGTTTCTGATTCAAGCTTCTTTCCCTTCGCTTCGAGCGAGTTCTTGAGCGCTTCTTCGGTCGCAACGGCGTCAGATACCTTGGAGAGACGATCTTCAAACTTTTTGATTTCGTCGGCAATGCAGACGACTTTGAGGGTAGGTTTGAGAATCTTCCACAAGTCCCACCATGGCCAGACGCGAAGTTTGACGTAGGATCGAAGCGAGCGCTGCACGACTTCGAGCGCGAGACGTTGGCGCATCATGGGGCGGTAATGCTTCTTGACGAGGAAGGAGCGGATGCGGGATTGCATCCAGACCATGATGGCGGCAATCTTATCGTCACGTAACTCTTCCATTTCTCCCAACACTCCGGCACGGAAGAAGACTTTGGTGTGACCGACGCGCCATTTGTCGGCGTCCAGACCGATATGGTCGAAACAGGCGGTGGCGATTTTCTTGTCGTCTTTCTGTTCCTTCATTTGTTTCGAGGCGAGGATGTTGTAGCTGCGGGAAGAGAGGGGAAAAGATTAGAGTTTGGCGGGAAATTTGAAGTTTTTTTAAAAAATTTGCATACCGGAAGCAGAAATCTACATAGGCCATCCTGTTGGGGAAACCTTTTCGGCAAATACGAATACCTTCAAGCACACCGTTACAGGTGAGTTGGTGCATGACTAGGTGGGAGTCGATGAGTCCAGGGGTTTTCAACTCGTTGGGAATAATGCAACGGATGAAGTGAGGATGCGTGGCTTTCAGGGTGGTCATCAAGTTGTTCAATTGTTCCTGAAAAAATACGTTAGGAAATTTATTAGTTTTTTGTTGTGTTATTGATTGTTCCACGGAGGGTTAGTAAAATTTGTGTGAAAATCTAGGAAGTAAATTATTTACAGGTAACACGAAATTACTCACTATTCAATCGCACATGCTATAACTAAATATGTAAGTATTTATGGACAAATTAAGTTTGTCCTGCAGTTAATGGACGGACAATAAAGTGTGGTGGAAAAGTATTAACCCGATAACCTGAAATTTTAGAAAAGAGTAAAATTAGTAATTTGAAGGGTAATATGTATTAAAATTAGTATTTTTTAATGAGAAACTTACCACTGGAAACGGTCTTGAACCCGGAGCCCTTTTGTTTTTTGCCTCCTACGAATAATATTTTGGATAAAGAATTAGGCAAGGTTTGGAAATTTTGGGGGGCGTTAAATCAAGGGAAATATTGATACTTGGAATTGGTAGTATTTTTTGAAGGGATAGACTAGTTACTTAATTTGGGTAAAATGTTTAAAGGGTGTACGTAAAATGTTTGGACCACTCTAGGGAAAAACAGTGCATGAAATACAAATTTACATAAATCAGGGGGTACTAAATAAAGAAAAGAAATTAACGATTTGTTGCAAATATTTTTTGCAAAATTAAGATAGCGAATTCAATTTGCAAAATTTTCAGTGTCCGCATTTTCGTCACAAGCGTACCCTTTGAGTCATCACCGCCACCACTTTGTCCGGGATGGTCGGCAAAGATGAACTGGACAAGATCGTTGGTTCCCTTCTTGAATAAATCGACCACAGTGTCGTTCAAGGGATCCTTGTTCTTCTCAAGCCAGTTGGCAATGTTGTATGGCACCTGTTAAATTAAGGTCGAAATTTTGAAAATCATTTTGGAGAATGATTTGTAACTTGTGATTTTAAAAAATATGTAATTGCGTACCGTTCCAGCGTAATGGACGCAGGCGAAATGAGCCTCAACTTGGCCGGGCTTTGCGGGTCTAGGCTTAATAAAGCAGGGGCTTTTTGAGAGGAGATTGATGTTCAATTTTTCAATGAACGTTTGATCCGTGGCTAAGGAAATTATGAAAATTTTTAAATTTCCAAAAATTTGAAAAAATATAAAAATCAAAAACCTTTCGGGAACATAGACTCTTCCTCTAGAATGGAGAAGACGCCCATGGGTCGCTCCATCATGTCGATACAGGCTTGCAAATCCATACCGAAATCTTCGAAGATCCAGTCGAGACCTTCCTTCTTGTACTCTTCCTAATTTGCATAAGGTAAGAATTTGCATAAATTATTTATGAACATTTATGTACACATGCATTTATTTTAATATGCAGCATTACCTGTTCCAGAACGAACATGTGATGGTTGAAGAATTGCTGAAGTTTTTCATTGGTGAAATTAATGCAGAGCTGCTCGAACGAGTTGAACTGAAATATAAAAAAATAATTTGTATTTAAATAAAAAAAATTGAAATTAAAAAAGATTGAAATTTACGTGTCATTTAATTGGTAAGGAATGGTTTTTTTAGCGAAAACAGTCATTTTCAATTCACAATTTTGAAGTTTTCGTATTTTTAAATTCAAATTCGAAATTTGAAAATGAAGTATTGACGAATATTTTGAAATTTGTAACAACGCTTAATTAAAGATTAACTAAAAATGATATTTTTTGTACTCACATCGAAAATCTCGAACCCAGCGATATCCAATACACCGATAAAGTGCTGTTTTTTGTTCTGATTTTCCAAAGTGTTGTTACACTTGACGACAAGGAATCTGAACATCCTGTCGTAAATGGCTTTGCCCATGGCACCAACGGCGTACAAACATTGGTTGACGTTTTGACCTTTGACCACAAATTCTGTGCCGACCTTGATCCTTGGCTTGGTGAAGCAGTTGTACATCTCTTCACCCTCAACGCCCAACATGCTCCCAGTTTTCTCACCGTGCTGAAATTTGCAAAAATAAATTAGAATTGAAAACAGTGCAAGTTTGACAAATTTACGTAGGTATACAAAGTTTAACATGAAACAAGTACTACATTGTTTCGACCTAAAGTTATTTACAGTAGTTTGCAAATTTTTGCGCATAATTTTTTGCACAATTTGTTCCCTTACTTCAGGCGTGTCTGGCAAAGCCTGTTCTTCACGACCTTGCTGCTTAAACTTTAGATTTCCCATGTGCATGACGCCAGCCGTGATTTTGTACACATTCATGCGTTCCTTCTCCGAAAAGTTTAAGACTTCGAAGGCAATCTGTAAGTTTTAAGAGTTGCAAATTTTTTATTCAGGTAAGAATTTTCGCACTATTTTTAATTCATATTTACATGTGTCTGTTCCAACTCGGCGAAATCGTCGATACTTGGGACAGTGGTTTTGCCCTGGGAGACGAAATGGTAGTCGAGGATGTCATTGCTGAGGAGCAATTTCTCCTTCAACCCTTTCACAGAGCCTGTCATAATTTGGTAGAAGATGTGGTACGACCGTTCTAAAGGTTGCTGCGAAATGACACGAGCTTTCTCCAACAAGTCTGGAAAGTAAGATAGATAAGTGAAAGTTGAGAAGAGATTAATATGTAAACGAAATAATAAAAATGGTACAAAAATATGGTATAAAAATGGTATAAAAATTATGGTATAAAAACGGAAAAAATTTATTTGCTAAGTAAGAGATTCCATTTTCAGGAACTATAAGTTTCATAGGTAAGTACAATTAGTTGGGGAAAATTATTAAACTGCAATTTCTCTTGTGCAAAAAAGTAAATGGTCAGTTTTCGGAAAATTAAAAAATAAACGTAAGAACTTTGATAGTAAAAGTGAAAGTCGAGGATTGATTAAGCCAATTTATGTGATATGTAAAAACGTGTAAAAGTTGCAGGAATTTAATTATTTCGACGAAAACATGATTGCATTTTAAGAAATGGTAATTTCTATTAATACCTACTTAAGAAGTTGATATGCAATGGTTGCGTTTGTTGTTGCAAAAAGTTTTGCAGAAAATTTTAATAACTAATAATTTCATCTGTTAAAGCACTTTAACTTTTTTGCACGGAATTTTAAACAATCGAAACTTACAAACTTCAATGTCAGCACTAGCCAATTTTCCGGATGGTCCGAAATGGATACGGATAAATTTACCCTGCACAACACATATTTAATTGCTACATATTTGCTTATTTCATAATTTCTTACGATAAAAATTTATGTAAGCAATTTTTCCCTTACGAATCGGGACGAGTTATCATTACGCGTGGTCTTGGCGTTACCGAAGGCTTCGAGGACGGGGTTAGTTTGGACGATCTGGTCCTCAAGGGAGATCTTCTTCTCGTCAGGTTTTCCAGACGCGCCGACGCTGGCGAAGTAGGCGATGACCTTCTTGGTGTTTTCCGTCTTACCGGCTCCAGACTCTGGAAATAATTGCTCATTTTCCATCACCTGTATCAGAGTAAACAACCAATTTAAAAAACAAATAATTACCTCCGGTAATGAGAATGGACTGGTTTTGATGGTCTGCAAGGGAACAATTATGCTTTTAAGGGCAGGAATTTTAAATAACTCGATAATTCAAATAGTTGACCCCACTTACTCGTCATCATTTCGGAGTAGGCACCATCAGCAATGGCGAAAATGTGGGGTGGGACTTCATTTCGCCTCCGCCCGTGGTAGATCTTCATGGCCCTCTGGGTGTAAATCGGGTAACGGGCGTAGGGGTTGATAGCGACGCAGAAAAGGCCAGAATACGTCTGATTTAAGTGAAGAAGATTATTGCAATTAATTAATTAATTAACTAATTAATTATTGATTAATTTACATATACATATTTACAGTATTATGATCTACATGGCAATATATGTATGCATATTGACGCATTAACACACATATTTAATTTTTTGTAAAATTTTTCCGATATCAAAATTTTTTCTGGAGGAATATGATGTTTTATTAATAACATCGCAAGTTTACTAAAAAATTACAATGTTTTCATTTCTTGAGATTAACTTTACGCTAAATGGATTGGGACGTGAAATAAGAGGTTGACGCACAGTAATTAATTATAAAAAATTGCACTGCATAATGTTCTGGATCGGTCTCATTAACAATTTTTCCTGAATTTTTTCGTACATATGTATGCAAACTTTTTTGCAACTTCCAATATCCAATAATGAATGAGGTTGGGACCAAAAATGCTCATTAAGCGTATAATATGTAAAAGAATGTCATATTTCCTTTCTTGGTTTCATGAATGAGCGTGGAATATTTCTGCTAAAAATAAATCTTAAAGATCCTCTGCCCAGCGTGCATAATGAGGCGATGATCCATTCTTCTCGCCTTCCAGCGCTTTTGTTACTTATGCTTTTGGCTCGTCACCAAGTCCAAGTCATTTCAGAGACAAAACTAATAATACAAATATTTCAGCCAAGACCTCATTCATAAAGAAGGAAGAAATATTTGTCTGGGTTTCAGAATTTGGAAACGACGATATCTCGTTGTCCGAGAGATGTTGCACAGATGCAAATTATTTTTAAGCATTGGACAAAATGATATCATGCCGTCTTCTTGGTAACATTGTAAAATCAGTAAATTCCTTAAACTTAAAAAATTTTACAAAATTTTGCAATTATTTCCAAGAAAAATTTGCTAGTATATTTTTTTAAACTGAAATCAAGGGCGTCTTTTGATTTTGTAAAACTATTTTACAAAACGCCTGGATTTTACAAGTTACCAATGACTGCATGAATTGTCTCATTGATATGTTGGAATTATTAACCGATTAAAAAAATACTAGTTTTATGAAAATTCCTATAAATCCACACACAAACAAGGAAATTATGGGAATCTTAACTGAAAAAATTCTAAAAATTGTACAGTTTTTGAAAGATGGAGAATGCTTGATGATTATTAATTAATTAGTGAAAATGTGGCTGAAATTTTGTATGCACACTTACATAGATCAGTTTGTTGTAGTATCTCTGCTGCAAATTGTGGAGAACGGAGGCGTCATTTAAATAAGTCAAGTTGGACATGTCCTCTGCCTTCTCGTACTTTGGGGGGTTGACCTGACCCACCAACGCCTTCTTGAATACTTTCTCCTAAATTTGCATAACAAAATTAGAAATATTTAAGAAGCCTATTTTTTGCACTTTTAATTTTAAGCAAGAATTTCCATACATTTCCGTCCGGCAACTTGACGGTCACATTGTCACCTTTGGTGCCTGTAATGCAGCCAAGTGCGAAGCATTCCTTGTCATCGGGGATCCAACAAGTCGTCTAAACATTTTTTGACAATTAGTACTTTTTGAATGTTTCTGAAATTTTATTTTTTTTAGGAAATTTATAACCTTGGCGTCGTACGGCTTCGTCTGATCGGCCCGTTTCATTTCGAGGGAGATGAAAAGATACTGGGTCGGGTCGGGCTCCTCCCCCTCCTTGAATTTCTGCTCAATAACCATCTCGAAATTGGGTGGGGGTAGCGACGGATGTACTGAATTTAAAAAATGTGCAAAATTTTAAATATGTTTTTTAAATTTATTCACAAATTAAAATTTTCATTAAATGAAAATTTTCGAAATTGTTTTCATTTTTTTACGAAATCAATTCTGTTTTGACTTATCACTTACCTTATGAAAATTGGATGACGCTTCGAGACAAAGAGTTGTTGGTTGAGATGTGGCTGTGTCGAGTCTGCAGAGAGGACTGAGGTTTAGTGAGCCCTGCTAAAAATAAGCTGCTCCAAAATTATGACTTGTTTCTTATCCCTCTTTCATCTCCTCTTGTTCGATACTTGCACTCCCGAACAGTTAGTTAGCAAAGCATTGTGTGCAGTCAGGACGTGTACTTATGTTGCTAATGATGGGCATCAATCATGCAAGTGAGGGGAGGGTGCATATATTATAGTAATTTTAATTTGTAGTTCAAATTATGTAAAATTTGGTCTAAGGTTTTAAGGATTTTTACTGTTTTTTCGTAATTTTGGGTACTCCGACAAATATGGAAATGTTGGTGGCCGAAATACTTACCGAAGTCATGCTGTTTTACAGACAGACAGATGTATGTGTGCAGAATGGAATACAAAAAAGTGTCACTGAGGTGATAAGACGATACAACTGGATAGTTGAAGGTAAAATATGCAGATATGTGTGTAAAGAAAGATGAGAAAGGTTTCCTTTTTGGTGCAAATTCTAAATATAAGTTAATTAGAAGATGCATTTATGTGTATATAGGTATGTATGTGTACAAGAAATACATAAATACTCGTATGTGTAGCATTATAACGTCGGAGCGTGTTAGAATTAAAATGAATTGTATGGAAGGAGAAAGCTGTCTAGTTTTTTTTGCAATAATTAAACTACCATACCTCCAATGTGGAATTAAAAAACCTTTGTACATATGAGCACTACATGATTTGGGTATGTACAATATGCTAATATTTATGTATGTTTGTATTACCATGTGGATTCATTTCATATGAATATATGTAAATACCTAGCTAATGTTATCTAAATGTAATATGATTTTGCATGATTTGCACATGCACATATGTATGTGCATGAATGCATGTATGTTGTACTGTACACATGTATACATACATTCTGGATTATTTTTATATGCACATGTGTATGTACATCGATATGTAAGTAAGCTGATATGCATGCAATGTTGTAAGAACAATGACCACTATTATGTATGTACCAGGTATAAAATTAGTTTGTATTAATTTTAGGAATGCCCAGGTGTTAAATAAATATTTGCTTGGCTTGACACAGAAAGTTTTACATGCATGCATTTTATTACATCTATATATTGCTTTGACTTCAATATATAAATCCAATTGCAAATTATTTAGTGAGGAATAACGAAAAAAATGGTTACATATATACAGATGTACGCATGAAGTTTGAAAATCATCTGCGGCCTGGAACTACATAAACTTATGAAATTAATTAAGAAATTAACAAAGTCAAGACGCTCCTAAATACATACATACACATATTTAAATCTGCGAAACGCATTGAAATTAACTTGCGTATTACATTAATGTAAGGAATTTAAATTGTTCTAAATTGTAAGCGATTGTTTTACTAAATTAGATTTTAAGCAATAATGGTACTTATTATGTATGCATAACAATATAATCACAGTTTTCTGTAAATGTACCTGTCGACTACTTGACAGTTTCTTTTTACATTTACATAACTCATTTTACTTAAATCATTGTAAAGAAATGGTATTATGCGTAGCGTATTGCATTATTTTCGGCAGTGCAATTGTTCTAAATTTTACTAAAATTACAACCGATTGATTTAAATACTTAATTATCTATGTAAATATCAAGCAATAATAGTAGCAGTATAATTACGATTTTCTACTTGTCGACTACACAGTTTTTTATATATTTTTCTTATTTTAGTTAAACCTTTGTCAAGAAATGGCATTAATTTACGTATTGAATTTTTCGGCACTGAAATTGTTCCAAATTTTACTAAAGGGACAAGCGATTGTTTTACTTAATCAAATATTAATGGTAGTGATATGATTACGATTTTCTATCTGTCGACTACTTCAGTTTTTTTATATTTTGCTTATTTTAGTTAAATCCTTGTCAAGAAATGGTGCTTATTTGTATATTTCATTTTTTTCAGGGAGTGAAATGGTTCTACATTTTATGTGTTAAAGTGACCAGTGATTGTTTTAGTTAATTACATATCAAGCACTATAATAATAGTAGCAATTTTCTACTTGTCGACAACACAGTTTTTTACATTTAGCTCATTTTAGTTAAATCCTTGTCAAGAAATGGCATTAATTTGAATATTGCATTTTTTTCTGGCAGTGCAATTCTCATAAATTTTAATAAAATGGCAAACACTCGTTTTTCTTAATTAGTTATTAAGCAATAACTATATAATTGCGGTTTTCTACTTGTCGACTACTTTGCTATTTTTATAGCGTTACCTATCTTTACTGTTTTTGATCTATTTTTGACTAATGAATATACTACATGTTTACGTATGTATACCTTCAAGATTTTTTGACTGCTTTAGCGAAGTTGGACTGCAAAGCCTCGTCTAATGGCGATTCATATTATTTAAATTCTATCTAGCATATTGAGTTCAATATTAAGCACAGCTACATACATCTGCTTATCAAGTTGATTTACATGTTATTTCATTTCTTTACCAGTGCAAGGATACTACACATGACGTGATCATTTTTAAGGAGATTAATAGCATTAATTTCTTACACATACAGATTACCACTCAATTGATTTTAGGTAGATGATTGGGACAGCTTTACATTTCACTCATTGATTTCTTTACAAGGCAAGCTACTTACAAATGTATTTCCTCGACAGTTTCTAATTGTTGACTACTTTGACAGATCATGTGATTTTTAGACTTCAATTCACAATTGTAACTGATTAAAATACTTCACAGTAATACACTTCATATGCATGCATGCACACGTAAATTTGTTTTATAATTTTTCTATAGCCTTAAAGCGAAGTATTAAGATTGGGTAAAGCGTCTTCTAAATGTCGACAACTTTGCAATTTTTTCTCATTTGATATTTATACATACGTATCTATGTACTTCGTTTTATCTATGTATTTGCGACTAATTCATGTGCAACATACATACACATACTAAACTTTGCTAGTTACCTTTGGCTATTTAGTTTGCTTTACATATGTCGCACATTATCTACTTTATCTATCACTGAAAATACACTACACATGATCAATTTGCATACATAACTAATTTTAAGGAATCTAATCTGCTTAATACCATGAAAGATTAATTTTTCCAATAGTGCAAGGATATTACGCAGGATAAATTTTTACGGGGATTTGTCATCTATCTTAAACGTATAGTTTTGTGGGAATTAATTTTGTTTACATAAGTGAAATCACTTTGGAACGATTTAGTTTTCTCAGTAATAATCCCTAATCAAGTGTAAACTTTTCTATGCATACATTTTAGTGTGCAGGATATTCTTTATGTCATTGGAAACACCTGGGTATGGCTTGGCCTTCCCATCCAAGCCTTAATGCAACCTACGAGTGCCACCAACTTTCGCCATAGCCATCGAAACAGCCAAAGGCTAAGTGGCCAAATGGCAAATCCAACAAACCGAATGATGCTCTTGACAAGGGCGGGCACAGTCCATCCGTTAGATATTCCGACGTTCCCACCAACAATCCCTGAATGGAAATTATAGTTAATAACTGACGAAACAAATTTTGATTGATTGTTTTATACTTTTACATCATTACCAACAGCTTCGGTGTAACTACATGTTAGTTTTCGACGTTTTCCCAGAACTGTCTTTGTTGAGAAGTAGACGTGAACGATTGAAAATTGGGCAGATTCGCTATATTAATGGATTATTGATTAGTTTGAGATATACTAAAAATACTATAAATTTTCCACTTACTTCAATTTCAGGTTTTTAATCACGTCATCCTGGTAAGGGACAGAAAGCGGGATTTGAGATTCCTGTACTGCTGTATATGTTATACTGAAGCAATCCTTCAAGCAATGTGGGCACTCATCATGTAATCCAGCATTATACATTGCGACTAAAAATAAAAACGTATATTCATTCCATATAATATTTACAACAAATTCAATTATCGCATATGCCTGTCTCATTTTCGACGAATTTCAACATGTCTGGTGAACATAAGACTTGCCCTGGATGACCTACATACATTATTCATCACATAAGAATTTATTTTAATGTTTTTCATGATATCGATGGATCTAAAAAACTAGAACGGAAGGTTCACCTGGAGCTGCAATGAGCTTGCAGCCAACTTTTTCGTAGACTCGTTTCGCAATGCATTCCTCTTGGCACCTTGTCTGCGTATAGTTCTTGTAATACATCAAGTTTGCGAGTGCATGTTCGTCCGAGAAGTAACAGTCACGATTTTCCTGGAATTATTAATTAAGGAATGCAATTTGGGTCGTATTTATATCCCTCATACTTTATTCATTTTGGCTTAACCGGTTTCAAAATTCTGATATCATCATCGGCCTGAATTACATGTGGTGTTACAGCGATAGATATTTCCATGCCGAACGCAAGTTTGAAACCAAATCTTCGGACGTCGGCGTAATCAAGCGGATTGTGAAGGGTCAACTACGTGAACGACAATATTCCTGCATAGTCTACACCATCATAGATCGCTACATTAAATGACTAAAATTTAGTATTTACGAGAAATCCAGTTCCATCGTGCTGCCGACAGGCGAATTCATCTTCGTTAAATATAGCCATAAATGTTAGCCCTGTAGGTTGGCCCGGTACCTTCTGTTTATAGGGAATTGGTGGACGAGAAGAGTTTCCTAGGGTTCCAATCGATCTATTGAGCATAGCGTTGCTGTCCATCTTCAACTTCAACCAACTATTTTCTACTCCTTCGGGAAGGTCTCCGTTCAGCAAAGTTGATAAACTTGGATTCCTGTTTAACAAATTATCAGAGTATTTTAAATCTTCAAAGGATTCTTGAAAGAGGAGGCAAACTTCACTAATGTGGGGATGACGGATAATTGACGGGGCTTTATAGCCCGTCGAACGACGGGAGACTCCCGTCACGGGAGTCTACACGAGTAACATTTTTATGAACCGGAAAATTGTCTGGCGACCAAACGTTATGCCATTGAATTATTAGAACGCTAACAATGCAAGTCTTTCACGTGTACAACTCAGATCTGGTTGGGACCAATTTTATTTTGTTCACCACAAAAAATAAGCATGCCCTTATTTTTTCATTTTTCCTAATGCTCTAATTTGAGCGCGTGGCCCGAATTTTAAAGCATTTTTCAGCCAAAACCTCGGTTTTTAAAAATTGTGTCAATTTTCGAATTTTAGCGCGAATCCAAAAATTCGAAAACACATCTCTGCGGAATGACTTACTTGACTTATGAAAGGTCCAATTGTCTCGAAATTTGCAATTCAAAATTTTTTGCCAGTTCTGAAATTCATTAAAATTATAAACTCTTTCAAATTCTTAACTTTTCGAAAAATAATGCATGTGGATTTTTTACAAGTCAAGTAAGTCATTCTGAAGAGACATGTTTTCGAATTCTTGGATTCGCGCTAAAATTCGAAAATTTACAGAATTTTTAAAAACCGAGGTTTTGGCTGAAAAATGTTTTCAAATTCGGGCCACGCGCTCAAATTAGAGCATTAGGAAAAATGAAAAAAATGCTTATTTTTTGTGGTGAACAAAATAAAATTGGTCCCAACCAGATCTGAGTTGTACACGTAAAAGACTTACATTGTAAGTGGTGTAATCAGTTTGGAATAGGTATATGATTTGCATACCTGTGTAAATTCAAAATGATTTCCAAAGGGAAGTATTCTCTACCAATTGATAGAAATGGGTATTGGATATGCCTAATTTAAAAGGGAGACAATTCAGGAAGGGGCGCATGCAGAGCTTGCCCACCATTGGTAAGGGGAGAGTTACCTAGCTGGTGACAGCTATATGTGTGAGTGCGTAAAACTGGGTATTAGACCTTTGGGGTATATTTCTGAATATATCCTATGCGGCTATGCGATGCCAACTATGCCTTATTGTTATATTTGTGAATTGTACAAATTTATGTATAAATTTGCCAATTCATCACTAAGAAATTACAAGTTAATTCCATGGAGTTATGAATCGTCTGTGTCGACATAAGAAGTATTTACATAGTCTAGATGCATAAAAACGTTACCTTCTAACAGTTTTCTCAGGGATACCATTAAATGTAAAAGATCTCCCGAGTTCGGTGTATGAATTGAGAAAGATATCACTGCAGTTGTATGTCCTTCCTCCCAAGGCGCAAGCTGTAAACATCTCGCCAATACTAGTCAATCCCTGGATAAATTACTCAAGTTAAGTAGTTCATGGGTTCCCAATTATGACTTAAATCCGGCAAATTAAATAACCTGTTTTATGAAGGGTGCTACGTTTCTCCACATATTATAATCCGATGCATTGTCTCGACAGGTTAAGTTATTCCTCTCTAAATACGCTGCTAACCCCTCGTATTCCTCAGATCGTACGTCAGTGGTTGGGCCAGTGTAGTTCATAATATTGTGATGTTTCAGAAAAGACTCGGTTCCTTCACAAATTTGTGCTGCGTCAACGAATGCCTCAACAAAAGTATCAAATGTCCAGGTATGGTTGTCTGGCGTGGTAACTTCATCCTCATTGCCCAGTAGATGGAGAATCCTGTATAATTGCATGTTAGAAAGCCAGGCAGTTAATTTAGCGATTGTCATATGATGACACTTGGTGTTGCGCCCTTTAAACACGGGAGTGAGGCGACAAATATGCAGCGACAAATATACAACCGACATTTATGCAACAACATACATATATGCAACCGATATATGCAACCCGACAAATATGCCACAAACAAATACATATGTAACTCACAAATATTTAATTCCATTACTAGATCCTATAATAATTGTGCTCTAGGGGTATTCCTTAGAAGAGCTAATAAATACACTTATCTATCTATCTATCTATCTACTAGATCCTATGAGGTGCCCATACTGATTTTTCAAATTCGTCATATCGAGTTATAAGTGTCGTATGTCGTATGCCTTTAGAAATATGAAATCCGGCGCGTTGGTACTTAATGGCTTCGCATGAAAGAATGTGAAGTTAAAAGTGAGCAAAGTGCAACCAGAGTGATCCTGGAGGTTGACTCATACCTAAAAGGTGTTATTTCCAGCTGAACTTTAGTATGAGGGATAAAAACCACTTCTATATAGCACGCACAGCTTTAGAAGTTCAAGATGTTAAACGATTTGATGCCAAATAATAGAAACTATAACAAATATTTAACAATCCACAACAGGGAGTTTGGTAATATCTGTATTATGCCGGTCAATTCGGAGAAAATTTAGAACTCCGACCAACCGAGTCAGGGTGTCTGTCCTTGACTCGGGCTACATGGAGTCTGCACTGTGGGTTTTGTTAGTATTTTTGACTGATATCTTTATTATGCTGAGATTTTATTTATGCTGAGGTTCTTAATTTTGCCTAGTTTTTTTTTACAGTGCCTGAATTTGTCATGCTGAAATTATTCTTGATTAAATACATTGACTAGATATGGAAACTCATATGTCTTGGTTGCATATGTATTTGTCTGTTGCATATTCCTCTAGGCGCATTTTTATCGGGTTGCATAAATGTCGGTTGCATATTTGTCGCTGCATAATGGTCGTTGCATACTTGTCACCCCGTCTTTTTGCGCAGAATTTCTATGACTGCAGGTCAATGTAATTACTTGTCCGAGATTCAACAAACTTGGTTGCCTACACTAGTTTGTATATTGTTCATGACATCTGGCATTACTACGTGCACATATGTATAAACATAAATACTTTGTGACCAAATTATTTTAAACTAAAATTTTGTGTGTGAATGTATGCATTACGTGTGACTATAAAAATTTACTAACTTTCGCAATTGATGAATCATTGACAGCTTTAAACTTCCCGGTGGTAACAAAGTTGTTCCTGGAAAAAGAATGAGTCCCGTGTCTATCTCTTGAGGGTCGTAAATCATGGCAAGCGGTTCGTGTACGGTTTCCATAGTTGCCCAATAAATTAGCAAGAAGCCAAGAATCAAGCATACAAACGTCATCACCACGTAGAACAATCTGGAACAATCGAACAATGGAAATATTAAGTTGTTTTATTATCCACAATTTCCTGCAATAAAGAATTCAAGTGGAAACTTAATTCTTTTGATACCTCCACTACTTTTAAAATCTTTGTGAATAAAGTAATTTCCCACTTGTAAGCTACGAAGCTATTAATTGTTACCAAAGATTGCATTATCCTTAGGTACTAAAGAATTTTTGAAAAGCAATCCTGGTAAGTATGATAAGTTTCTATTTAGCAATTGGTTGTCTTCATGTTATTAAGCAAAATCAATATTCATATTGTTTCCATGCGATCTTTTGTATCGAGAATATACATGTCATGAAATATGTGAAATATGTGAGACGCTTTAATACAATAAAGATTTGAGATGCATCACATAAAGATACTTTATACTTGAGGTATACCATTGATTGTGTATTTTTATGCAGGGAACAGAATGGCATATTTATTTAAATTTGTCCTTATCCTCGTTCTGTCCAGCGGTGCATATGGGAACAAGGATTACAGCAATGTGAAGCTAACCCCCCTAGCTAAGGATCACCTAGAGCAAATGTCAGCACTTATGTCGAAAGACAGGTACACTGGGTGCTTATGTCCTGCCAGTCTGAACTCCAAAGGCTCCTACTATACACTTTGTGGCCATGAATTGAATCCGAAGGCAGGCGGAATTTGTGCAAAGGAAGGCTCATACAGATGCGTGAATAATCAGCCTGAAGCAATATTGCAGTTCGACTGCGCAGAAAAGGGAGGGGGACTTTCCTGCGTCGAATCTACAACCTGTGTGTTAGCATGCAAAGAGCACAACGTAAAAGGTTGCAAACGGTTAGTTAAATATACAGTTTAATTTTATTACGTATCTACAGGAAAGAATTTTTTTATTCCAGGATCTAATCTTAACTATGTATGTACATATATGCGAGAATCTGGTTTCGAAGTCGTTTGGTATCCTAAACTATTTGAGGCAAATTGGTATAATAAATTAAACACTCGTGTGACAATTAAATACAAATTTTCGAGATTTTCGGCCAACGATACATATCGTATCGTTTATATACTACACCAAACTTATCTGATGTAATATAATTTAAGATACACGCATCCGTTCGCCAAAACATTTGCTATTCGCTTCAAAAAATTAAACTTTCAAACACCTGAAATTAAAATTCAGTCAGCGAGGAGAGAAGAGAACATATCATCTCTGAGGCTATGCAATTATAAAATCTAATTCCATCGGATGCAGCAACTTTTATGAATTACGAAAAAAGTTATA